AATACAAACCTTTCATTGCTACCCAGCCTCTGTCATTAACCAATAACTTATTCATTGCTGAGTAAACAAATACAAACCTTTAATTGCTTCCCTGGTAGCTCAGATGGTAAAGAATCTGCCTGCAATACAGGAGACCCGGGTTCAATCCCTGGGTTGGGAAGATCCCCTGGAGAAGGAAATGGCCACCCACTCCAGTATTCTTGCCTGGAGAATCCCTTGGACAAAGGAGCTTGGTTGGCTACAGTCCACGGGGTTGCAAAGAGTCAGACAGGACTGAGCAACTTTCACTTTCACTTTTATTCATTGCTGCTTAAGTGACCTAATTCAGTCCCTGAGTGTGACTTGAATTAACTCACTCAGGACGTAGGGTCTGACTCTGATGGGTTCTAACTGTCTGGATCACACAGATTGTGTATACTTATTTCAGACCAGAGCTTTTTTTAATCCTTATCAGCTGACATATCTCTACTTGTTTACCCTTTCCCAGCTAAAAAAACTCTGCTTGTTCTTCTAAGGTTTCTTCTTTTACTCTTTGACTCTACATCTGGAGATATGAATAGGAAGAAATAGGAAGAAAATAAAATTTCATATCTGCAGCCATGGAGACAACTATTTCTCTTTCAGAAGAAGTTCCCCCACCCCCTTTCCATATTAAATTTTTAGAGTGTTCTATTTACACTTATTCCAATTCAAAATATTAGAAATGAGTCAGGCTTTCCTAACTTACTGGTTTACTAGAAAATAGTTTTTAAAAAAGAGTACTGTGCTAAAGGGGCTCCCCAGGGGGCACTAATGGTAAAGAATATGTCTGCCAACGCAGGAGACGTGGGTTGGACCCCTGGGCCAGGAAGATCCCCTGGAGGAGGAAATGGTAACCCACTCCAGTATTATTGCCTGGAAAATTCCATGGGCAGAAGAGCCTGGTGGGCTACAGTCCATGGGGTCTCAAAGAGTCACACATGACTGAGCGTCTGAGCACACAGCAGGTTGCACGGTTCTAAAACTGAGAAATAAAGTCCTTTGTATTTTTTAAGTCTTCTCATAGGCAATTTGCTTTGCCTATTTTAAAGTGAGGTTTGTGATTATAATTGAGGACTGTTTGGATGACTACAGGGACATGCCAGGTGGTATTAACATGGGAACTCCTTACAGAGGCATGAACCCAAAATATTGTATTGAAAACAAGAAATATGGTATAATTCAAAAGAGAAAGATATGAACTTTGAAGTGTGGGAACTCATGCGTGTAATACCTAAAGGTGGGAATTAATGAGTCATCTACTGAGAATAGAAAACTGGTTATCCAAACTTATCTGGGAGTATGGTAGAAGAAAAGGACTTTGGGGGGAAGGAGAACAAATTAGCAAAAGATCTTGAAATTACAGTTGCAAAGTAAAGTTTGCAGAAGCGATTGAGACAGTAACGTTTTCTTAAGTCTGCATTTCTCAGACTTTCTAACCATTTCTCTTTAATGAATATTGGAAAATTTTCCTGATTTAAATCCTGAACAAACAGTCTGTACTTAAGTTTGATACACGAATAGGCACCCCACAACATTATTTCTGAGAAATCGATATTATACAATCAATACCACAAACCAATTTCCACCCTAAGGAGCCTCTCATATAAGTGTTAGGTGTTTGCATATTGGAAAAAAGTTGTAATGGTTTCTGGGAATATGCTAGGCTAGGCACCCTGACTAACCTTCTTGCTACAAAAAACTAAAACTGTAAAATGAAATATATTTTTTCAAATTATTTGTTATTTTCAAATTTGAAAAGTAGTGGAGAATAGTCGTATATAAAAAACGAAGTGAAAGCAGGTAACCTGGTTTAGCAGAAGGCTGAAGCCAGTGTTAACCTTGAGGGCTAAAGTTTCTGTTTTCAAGGCTTTGAGAATGGAGGGGATTGAGGCTGAAGCTAGAACCAGCCATGCTTACGTTAGGGAACATAATAGAAAACAAAATTCAGGTGTAGGCTGTTTACAAATGACTCATATGAAACTAAAGCATATAGAAAAATTCAAACAAGGCTCAAGAAGATGCTCAAAGCAAATACAAACCAAAAGAAACCAGTGGCATAACCATGTAAGTAGCTGAAGAAACTGTCCCTTACTGTGGAAAGGATTACTAGATACAAAAATATTACCATTTGATACTGACAAGTAAGAATATAAGGGTAAGAAGGAAGCAAATTAACACCTCCTTTCAGGAAAATAATTTGGCATTACCTATTAAAATATTAGATTCTGTATAATATACATACACTTCAAATCCAGAAAACCCACTGCTTTCATAATCCCTTTCACTCTTTTTTCTTTAGGACTTGGAGACATGACTGATAAGATTAAGGTTTTAGCAAGCAGACAACAGATGGTTGATTGAAAGTCTGTAAATGTAATTACGTGAAGAATGAAAAATAGTGACATAGTCAAATGGAAATAAGGTCATAATGAATTCAGGTAAAGGGGTATTTTCTTGCAGAGTATAAATGTGGCCACTATAAACAATCTTGTATTTCATAGACATTAATGTTTAAGTAGAAAACTAGGTCCTGTGACTATATAGAGGCTCTCCTTATAGCTTGAAATGGAATAACCCCTTTCCCTGCCAAAAAAAAATTCCAAAACATAAAACAAACCTAAGAACTCCCCTCAGAAAATCAGGATCTCTCCAGGAAGTTCCTTGCCAGGCCTGCTTTTCCAAAACGTCAGATAGACCCAGTAACATAGCAGAGTTAAATGCAGAAGTAGGTGCAGAAATCATATCATGCTAGTGAGTTGGACTCTTGAGGGCTGAAAGACCTATTCTCTGGGACACAAACCCTGAAAGGGAACAAGCCATTGCTCTGGGCTCCCCTGACCTGGAAGGTTTTCAATCTGAGTGGGCTTTGGAAACCACAAAATCTTCCCTCTGCCTCTGTGGGGAGTCAGGGAAGCATGCTGAAGTTGGGTCTGGTCACTCCATCCTTATTCGTGGTATTGTATATAAACTTTTTCTTCACTTGTTTGTTCATTCAAGGTGAAAGTGAAGATGAATCCTCTCAGTCATGTCTGGCTCTTTACAACCACATGGACTGTAGTCTACCAGGTTCCTCCATCCTTAGGATTCTTCAGGCAAGAGTACTGGAGTAGGTTGCTATTTCCTTCTCCAGGGGATCTTCCCGACCCAGGGATTGAACCCGAGTCTCCTGCATTGTAGGCAGATGCTTTACCCTCTGAGCCACCAGGAAAGTCCTCATTCAAGGTAAAAGAAACTAAAACTAACTTTAGCCAAGCCTGAGTTTGTTTTAGGGGTCTAGCATCCACCATAAAGGTTTTGAAATACCACACTAATAAATGTGTTTCTTTTTTTTAAAAAACTCTTTATTCATTAAAACATCATTGGCACAGCACTTCTCATGTTCACTCTCATCAAATAATAAAATTTCCACTTTCTTTACTCAATTCTTGAGAATCTGAGAGATTAAAAATGTAGTTAAATAAGGAACTAAAAGGAAGAGAATTAAAACCCTGGAAACTTATGGCAGATAAGTTATTACCCAAGAGAAAGTACTTTTCTTACTACCGGCAATATTAATGGCACAATTCAACCAAAACTCATATATATTTTATTGCTTAATTTACATATTATTTTGGTGGAAAAAATAGAATTTTTTATTTTTTCAGTTTCTTTATGCAAAAACACATACACTTCTACAGGGACATCCCTTAGATGTTATATAAACGTTGTAAGGCCATGAACAGGCCAACTCTAGAGTCCAAGATGCTTGAAAGACTCCAAGAAATTATTTAAAAACAAACTTAACAAAATGTATTGGGTCACGCTCATGTCCATCCAAAATGTATCCTGTCTCTGACTATGGCAGTAGAGAAAGTTCTACAGACCTTTATGACATTACTTTAAAAGGGATTGGATAACACCCCACCACCCTGCTCCCACCCAAATAATCCCACCCTTCTTTGATCACCAAGATGAGACAGTAATCTGTGTATTGATTCAAATCTTTCAAGAACTTATTATAATTTATACTGAATTATACGTGGATCATGAATTTAATAAAGGTACTACCTTTATTTAGAGTGATGTTTTATTTCTAATACCTTAGTCAAACAATTGCAAAGATGGAGATTCCCTTAAAATGTGAAGAAATGCCAAAACTGGTTTACAAAATAGTAATACATTTAAATATTTACATCAAACTAAGCCAAAATGTATACAGAATATATTGAAGCCAAAATAGATCCAATAGTACGATCTAACTCTGCAATTTTCAAAAGATTTATTAGAAACACAATAGTGCATCGGTTAAAGTGGAGTGGTATCATCTTTCTTTCCTGGACCACTGTGACTCCAGATTTAACTTCATTTAGAGATGACCTCAGAAGTCTTTTTCGAGGCTCTTCATGAATGTGAGGCTCAAGCCAAAAGCCCTTCCTTGCTTCCTTGACAAATCCTGACGTCTAGTTTGTAATAACCTGAGATTTGGCGATGTCTGTTTTCCTGATCCATATGCTTTATAATTTGATTGAGATTTTACATGAATGATAAAAAATAAACTATTCGGGCTGAGCTGAGAGAGCAGAAGGGTGAGGAGATGGAAAGATGTGAAAGAAAGATTTTTTTTTTTTTGCAGACTAGTTATGTTTCCTTGGAAGTAACCTGGTTGGGAAAACTCCAGGATACTATGCAAGGCTTAAAAAGCATCAGAGAAGCAAAATAGTAGTTGCCTAAAGTGGGGCAGTGTAGACAGTCTGTGTTGAGGCAGCTATTTCTATCTATATCTCCACATATCTCCATTATTCAGGAGGTTTACTTTAAAATAGGCTACTGGGGCTCCAGCCCAGCATCGTATGTCCGTCAGTGAAAGCGATCGTTGAGCACGGGCAGTGTGTAGGGCGACTTCTCGAGGCTTCTTTCTTGTTAAACTGTCTGGAACGTTGGCTTGAGCTTTGCCCACTTCACGCAGATACAGCATCTGATGTGCTGTTTCTATTGATCATTTAAATACTAATCAGTAGCCATTTCCTCAGGGTGGGAAGGTTCTTCTCCAGCCACTTAATATTTTTGGATATCGCTTCCAGAATAGTTTGAAATATATCTAGATGTGATCCTTGGGCCTTAAGAGATTCAAAGAACAGTTTCACCTGAAAAAAAAACAAGAAAAGAATTACTGCTACGGTTCATAAAACACTTTCTCTTTCAAAGGCTTTCAAAACAGCTTGCAGATTATACAAATACAGGTGCAAGCATTTCTCTGACAACCTCTGAAAAGTTATTTTCTTCATCTCTTTTTGGGGCATAATTATTTCACTTTATCTTCAAACAATAGGTAAAGTAAGACAGGAATGACAAATCTGACAAGTAAGCACACTGTAGGTAAAAACGGTAAGAGATTGAGTCAAGTTCTTAGAGTAAACAGTGATCTGGGATTTAAGTTCTGAATTTGCTTTAAAAGTAAATAAATTCAAGATTTATTGTGGAAAGACAATGTAAAACACAAGAATGCTTTTTAAACAGAGGTTAGTAGAACTCCCATAAAGAGTAATATTGTTAAAAAGACCTTCAAGCACTGTTTAAAACTTCAACATAATCACTCAAGTGATTGTGATGATATAATGCAAACTAAAGAATACAAAAGGACTCATCCCTCAAGTGTAATTTTCATTTTGAACGCTATGAACATTAATTCTGTCTTCCATTTATTTGCTAGGTGACATTGGACAAATGGCTTATTTTCTTTTAATAAAATAACAACTTAAAACCAGATTGCATCTAAATTTACTTTCAATTCTATAACTTGAACATTTATTTTTAAACTGTTGGCAATGGAGAGTCACAAACCTCCTGCAACTCATCCTTGGAAGAAAAATGAGATGTTGTGCCGGAGATGATCGTTCTCATGGGGAAGGAGCCCAACTCAAATCTGAAAATAAAAGGAATTTCATAGATGTAAGTAATAGGACCAATGACCTTATGTTTATAACATGCTATATATATTTAAACTATGTAACATTAGTAACTATATGATAAACGTGTACATTACAATGGATACTATCAATTACTACAAGAATAGCTCATATGCATCTGGTAAAGTCTGAAAGCTATGAAATTTATCAAATTTGACCATAAAATTAAAATTTAGATAAAGCTTTTTTAGGAAATGTGACAAATGTTTATGTCTAAATTTAAGTTCATATTTAAAGCAGCACCCTACAATTTTTGAATGTGCATTCCATCAACAAAATTTTTTGACCAAGAATTTCCCAATATACATATTTTTATTTATGAATTATATGCACAGACTAACTAAAAGGTAAAAAGAAAAACTTAAGAGCATAAGGTAAGAAATAATACGTGTAGTAATATTTTCTTCTTGCACTCTAAAGCACTGTCTTGCAACCTTCCCTAACTCATTTTGGACACCCCTGTGTTTAAACATCATACTTATTGGGGAATTGTCAGTGAAACTCTTGTTCAAAGCCACAGATGGCATCCTTTACCCCCGTGTTTTACATAGAGAATTTGGCCACAGGTCAAAGGGCTTCATACTACAAAGCAGAGCACAGATACATCTCAGACATGCTTCCAAGTCTGGGCAATGCACATGGTTGGAGAGGAGACTAATTTCCACTTAGAGAAATCTGATCATTCCAGGAGGGAACGGAGGGTCACACAAACAACAAAACCAATGGTTCCAGTAGGGTGTTTAAGGAAAGTGTTTTTTGTTTTGTTTTGTTTTGTTTTTAAAACAGTTTCTAACTAATTTGGTCTCATGTGGATGTCAGCCCCTTTAAGGTCTTGAAGTGGGTAGAGATGTGCTTTTTGCTCACAAAAAGCTATCAGTGAGAACTCTGACTCCTTTATGACTAAGAAATGAGAGGGATGAGGAACTGAGGATGACTGACATCAGACATGCTAAATGACACAAAAATACAGAGCAAACTGCACAGCTCTTTCATTTAGGGTATTTTCCATAGAGTTAATAAGTGACATTTTGGAATTGGATGAGGAATGGTTGAGCACCTTTGCAGGGGGGTCTGTTGTGAGAGAAAGAATGCCATCCTGTACATTCTGAGGAAATCTAATCATTATTGCTTTCTTCTGGGACTATTTTAGGGCCAGGAGCATATTGCAGTGAGCTATAGGTCGTCCAAAAGCTGAAACCCCAGAAAAGACTCATAACCTATCTAGTTTTGGAGGGGAGCTCCCCAGACACTTCTGATTAATTTCTTCTATTGCCTCCAAGCTCTCCACTATGTTTGTTACCTCTCCAAGGGAACTGGAGGAAGGGATTAGTTATCTTCAAACTCTCTGAAGTTTTTTTTCCCCAGAACAAAACTGTATTAACAAAGTAAATGAAATATTTTGCTGTACTATATATGGCTTCATTGCTTTCTTCTGGGCTAGGGAGAGAGCCAGAAGGGAAAAGGGGATGGGATTGATGACTGGATTTAACTCAACTCTTACTTGTTTCCAGCAATTCTTCATTGCCTGAGATGAGTAACAGAAATCTGTTTCCCATCCCCTTCTTTTCATTCCTCTCCCTGTACCTGGACAGAGGGCTAGTGAGTTTTAAAATCGACACACTTCATCAAAACATTTGGGTAAAAATAATGTCATTCATATGCTTTAGGGAACATCTGATTAAACTTGGTTTTAGGCAACTGAAATATCTGGGTGGAAGAATACACATTGTGAAAGTCGCTCAGTCGTGTCCAACTCTGCAACCCCGTGGGATTCTCCAGGCCAGAGTACTGGAGTGGGTAGCCTATCCCTTCTCCAGGGGATCTTCCCAACCCAGGTCTCCCGCATTGCAGGTGGATGCTTTACCAGCTGAGTCACCAGGAAACACAAGAATACAGGAGTGGTAGCCTATCCCTTCTCCAGGGGATCTTCCCGGTCCAGGGATTGAACCTGGGTCTCTGCATTGCAGGCAGATCATTTACAAACTGAGCTATTAGGATATAAACAAATACCAACTTTTTAAGGAGATGGGTCCAATTTTCTTTTACAAAGTTCCAGGCTAGTTGCTGCCCCTTTGGATTTCTGGCAATCGCAAAAAGAAGAGCTGCCAAGTCCTGCGTCTTGATAACCTTCCCTTCCATTCCTAGTTCAATTAACCTGAAGAAACAAAGATCACTTAATTTTTCACGGCATGTGTTCTATAATGGAAATTAACAGGCTATCAGTATATTAAAAGAATCAGAGAGAAAGAGGCACAACAAAAGTGTAATGTACCAAAAACAGTAATAAACTCTCTACTGGCTAACATTTTTAATATTCCAGTTAAATGTTTGCTTTACTCTAAAAGTAATTTTATCCACTTATTTCAGTAAACTTCAATTAGCATCTTATACACAAAAATTTATTTTTTAATAATAATAATTTTCCTTTAAGGTTCTGGCTGTAAAACATAGCTGTTTGCTTCGTATCAATCACGTGATTAAGGAACATCTGTTTTCACTATGTGCATTTTGTCAATACATGATTTTTGGAAAAAATTCAAAATGGTTCGAATCCTGATTTAATTATTATTATATGGCTCTGAAATTGATGGCTGAATTTTAGTAACTTTCCTGAATATGTGTAAGTTTACTTTTAACAATTTAAATTCACTTACTTGATTAATTTTTCCTGATGTTTGCTGGTTGACAATGCATACAGAATTTTGTTTTTTTCAGCACCCGACAATGACAGTTCATATTGCTCTAAAAGGTAGTTCCATCCTGCTGTTGTTTGAGCCCCCACGGAATACACGATCTTTAAAACATCTGTTGGGATACTGTAATATTAAGCACAAAAGTGAAAAAAAATTCTATGAAAGAAAAAATTAGTTTTTCTTATTATGATTTTAAATTCTAAAACAGAATCACCCTTGAGTTATTTCCTTTTGTTGTTCAGTCACTAAGCTGTGTCTGACTCTTTGCGACCCCATGGACTGCAGCACACTAGGCTTCCCTGTCCTTCTCTATCTCCTTGAGTTTGCCCAAACTCAGGTCCATTGATTCAGATGCCATCCAACCATCTTATCCTCTGTTGCCCACTTCTCCTCTGCCCTCAGTCTTTCCCAGCACCAGGGTCTTTTCCAGTGAGTCAGTTGTTCGCATCAGGAGGCCAAAGTATAGGAGTTTCAGCTTCCAGTGAATATCCGGGGTTGACTTCCTTCAGGATTGACTGGTTTGATCTTCTTGCTATCCAAGGGACTCTCAAGTCTCCAGCACCACAATTCAAAAGCATCAATTCTTTGGTGTTCAGCCTTCTTTATGGAAGAATTTTATGTACTATTACTTTGCAAATTATTTGTGTTTTTTCCTACTAATGATAAAATGTTTAAAGAATAATAATCAAAAATTTAAACTACATGGAGAATCATGATGAGAAGCTGATGAAATTAATAAAAGAGGTGATTTCTGAACTATAAATGCACTGGTTTGTATAGAATTCTGTCACTAAATTGCATATATTGGTACTATATGATTTTTTTTTAAATTATTACTTGTTGCTTTAATGTCACTTTAGGAGTATATTCTAGTAGGCCCGTTTGAGGGCTATCTGACTCTCTAGGTATAAAATATTGTAATTTAGCACAGTTGTTTAGAGTTCAGTCATTTATATTATAATTCTGTAAAATAATAGCATGCAATATTCTTATTTTCTGTCCCCGTAAAGAGGACACCATGGTTTTCAAGTTTTATTGTCCTGAAGGATACTAACTAGTCTTTATTTTAATTTAGTTATGATTTTTAATTCCAAATATAATTGATCAGTAATAGCTAATATCCATATTGATGGCTTGGAAAACCTGCAATACAGAGAAGCAGGGATGGGACAGGAAATTTGAATTTATCATACAGGGTCCATAACATTGTAGTAGTCTCTATATAACTTACTTAACTGCCAAAGCTACCCAGTGAGATGGAAGAGTTACCCTAATTTTTTAGAAGTGGAAATAAAGTTCAGAAAGCTTAAGTAACTTGCACCAAGGTGACATATTAGCCTTTTTCGAGATGGGATTTAGACCTATGATTCTAAAACTGTACTATTTCCACTGTACTATATATACATAAATACCCAAGAGTCTTTGAATCATGAAACAAAAAGTAACCAAATTATAATCCACATTACTTTTATTTTAGTTTATTTTACTAAAGGAAATCGGTCCTGGGTGTTCATTGGAAGGACTAATGTTGAAGCTGAAGCTCCAATATTTTGGCCACCTGACTCGAAGAGCTGACTCATTTGAAAAGACCCTGATATTGGGAAAGATTGAGGGCAGGAGGAGAAGGGGATGACAGAGGATGAAATGGTTGGATGGCATCACCGACTCAATGGACATGAGTTTGGGTAAACTCCGGGAGTTGGTGATGGACAGGGAGGCCTGGCGAGCTGCGGTTCATGGGGTTGCAAAGAGTCGGACATGACTGAGCAACTGAACTGAACTGTACAAATTTATAAAAATTGGTAACAAATGAATTGTAAGTTCTTTGAAGGTAGGACACCTAGTTGTTTCTTTCACTAGCTTATTAGCACTAACTATAGTGCCTGGCACAAAAGCAACAGGCAAAACATTATATTCTGAATTCATGAATGAATGAAGTAATCTATAAAGGATTAATACTGATGATCTTAAGCTTTAAAAAAATAAACCTACAATATTTGATTATGTACTCTCGATTACAAGCTTAAATGAGATTTTCCTAGAATTTTTTCATAGGTATAGCATCCTATTCAACATGTTGAACCATCACATCTACTGGACTTGAGTTACTCTAGGTGAGATCATTCCTCTTGTAAATAGCATAAAGACAGAATATATTCTGATGTGCTATAGGGCAGCAGAATGTTTATATTTTAGCCTCATTCATAGAGTTTATTCAAACATGAACAAAAAGAAGAGAAAAATACAGCTAAAAGAATTTGTTTCCCCTAGAACTAATTTAGGCCTAAATCCTAAAGAGTGAAAAAGTCCAAAAAGAAGAAAACAAATTACTTTTTAAAAAAATAAGAAATCAAGAAAAGATTTCAAAAAGCTCATGGAGATTTAGTTATACGGAGATAAATTGTGATAGCATTTCATAACAATTTGGCAGAGGAAAAATTGACACTATTGCTTTACCTGGTACTAAAGCAGTGAATTTTTTTTCTATTCTAAAAAATGAATTTTCCTTAATTCACATACAGATTTGATTTCTCAAGACATCCAGCTTGAAAGTCAGGGTTTTAATAGCAACAATATAAAATCATGTGTTGGACAGAAATCAAGGCTTACATTGAAAAGATTGTGGTGTCTTTTAGTACTATGGGTTGCAGCTGCTAGACTGAACTGCAACAGAATCCATTTGATCACTGGGCATCTAGCTAATTACAACAACCACTGGAATCAATTTTGCCACCTTATACATCCTTTAGATGGCCCAAATCATCAGTTTCCTATCAAAGCTGAAACTTGAGGCTAAGACGTGGTATGTGGGGTATGCGGTATGGTATTGGTTAATGAGGAAGTAAATATATTGAACAAAGCTCCCTCCCCAACACCTGGTTTTTTGTTTCATCAATTGATCATTGGCGTTTCGATTGCATGTACATTTCACATTGCTTTTTATCTTTAAAAGGCATTACTCTTGGAGATCGGGCACCACTCTAGTCTACCCCACTTTCACCCCTTGGCTGTCTTTCTGAAACCATGCTAATGTTTATTAGCTTTTCCCTACAGGGAACTAAACCTCACTTCCCACAAAAATCTTTTGAGCACTTACTATGTGGGAGCATGAAACAAGGGTATGTAATTCCCAGCATGTTTTTTTTTCTTTTTCTATCCTCACTAAAAGGTTTTAGATTTAATGTCTTGCATGATCAAAGACTTTTACATCAAAAGGAAAGGAACAAAGAACAGAAGTCCAGATTTACTTTAATTTTCCACTGGATTCCATCCACTGAGAGAAGAGTTCAGTTGCTTTCTGGATGCAAGGAGCATGGTTCAGGTAACAGGCCAGCTTCAAGACAGTGGAGCGAAGCATTCTGTCCCAGACGGAGCCCTCGTCAACCCAGCTTTGCGTGTCAATCACTGGCTTAAAATACTGGAGAAGGTGATGCTGCAGAAAGCAGAGGATGGCTTACAGAGAGGCTAAATTTAGTTCTTCACACAGCTCTCACTCACCCATCTAATGGGTCTGCATGAAACCTTTCCCGAAGCATAGAACTACTAATCTCTACATTTTGCTTCTCTTTTTCTGGTGTGTGGTCTCCACCCACCACAGTTCATGTCTCCATTAGAAGTACAGTTTAATTTCTTATCTGAGAGGGGACTATCAACTGATGCAAGATAAAATCCCCTTAGGAGGCATGCTTTGCTTCTGACCCTAGTACCCAGCTCTTAGGCTGATGACAAGGACCAGGGGATATCCAACCATTAGGTGCTTAAGTGTTGACTGTGCCCCCAGCCAATTTCCTGATACTCTCCAAGATTTAACCCCAAGAGTTCACACAAAATAGAACAAGTCTCATTGATCGTCCAACTACTGTGTCTTTTACTTAATGAATCTTCTGAAAGGAACACAAACCTTGAGATTTTCAGTGACATCTGAAATGTTCCTTCTTTCCACCATGTGGTAAAACAATTCTAGGTATTCCAGACCTTTGAGAAGCGCGGGAATGCTTGTTTCATGTTGGAGGTAGCGAGTCAGGTCAAGAGCTTTGTCTAGGGTCAGCCTTCCTGCACTGAGGTATAAAACAAATGTCGGTGGTTTGTGCATATCTTACAGTTCTCAATATTTTAAGTAGTAAGATGATACGGAGAGCAATAACAGAAGCAGCTCATTATATTTAAACCACTTGGTTTAAATCCTACCTCTTCCACTGACGTGGGCAAATTAACCCCTGAGCTCCACCTGCCTCTTCTATATAATGGGAATAATATTAGAATCTACTTTAAATCTCTGTTTTGAGGATTAAATGAGTTAATATAGGTAAAGTGCTTAGAATAATGCCTAAACATAAATAAGAGCTTTCTAAATGAAATAAACAGCTAATATTAATATCTAGTACCAATAATATCAAACTTTTCATGTACTTGTCATTCTCTAATTGCTTAATTTGTGGTTTTGAATTGTTCCTCCAAGTATATTTGGAAATTTTGAGGACAGGTGCCATATCTTTTTTTTTTGACGTCCCTTCCTAGAGCCTAACAGAGAAGCTGCAGTTATTCTGCGTGGGCCAAAACAAGGACTTTCTTTGTTTTTAAAGAATCTATTTAGATTCTAAAGTGATATGTCTTCTCTATATTTTCCTTTACTGCAAACAAACAACAAAACTATTATTCTGAGTACTAAAACTTTAGTGTCTCTTCTATAGAAGAAGTAAGTTATTATATTGTCACCTTCATAAAGTGGTTGCTCACTCATATTTCTGAGAAGACCTATGTCCCTGCAGTGTCTATAACCCATTCTTGCCAGCATCCAACTCTCAAATCAAGCATATTAGTTTGATATGGAAACAGATTCCAGAACAAAGATATCTGTGTTGAATTTTTCATTAATATAATGCCCTACCTCCTTTGGGTTTTTTAAAATTTTAAATGCTCATCTGAAACAAGGGAACTGAAACTAGAAAGAAGTGGCATTAAAAAGAACCAACTTTTGTTGTGACTATACTCTTCTCAGTCATAATGACATACTGCTTTAAAACAGACCTACAGTCCATTTTCTAAAAATTTCATCTGAAGACAGAGGGCTGGACCATATGCGCTACGATTTTATAGTCTGCTGTATTTTTAAAAATACAAATCCACAAAATGTCACTATTCCTTCCCACACGTGTAAGTGTCATAATATATGGTGCACTAGCTAAGTATAATTATAGTCACAACCTTTACAATTTTAAATGTTAAATCTAGTACACAATCCATTCATTACATTGCTCACATTGGGGAAATCAACATGAAACTGGTAGAGAAATTAAGGAGGAATTGACTGCTTATGTTTAGACTTTCCTGGAAAGACAAGCTGTTTTCTTTCTTCTATTTATCATCAACAGAATAATATGTAAAATAAATCAGGTCACAAGGTCACCAACAGAAACAATGTTAAGGACCAGGTGGAGTATTATGCGTTGGAAACATTTCCTATTCTGGGAATTACTGCAGAGTACCCACTTTATTCAACGTGACACATTATTTCTTTACTGGTACTATGAAGTATACTCTACTTAGAGGATAAGCAACAGGACAAAACTAGGTATTATATTCTAGGGTCAAAAAGCTACCTACTTAAAACACTTTCATCTTAATATTCATCAAAGAGGGAATCATTTTCATGTAGTTATTATTTAATAAAAATCCAGCCCTTCACTACCTGCCTTCTGCTTCAATTAATGCACAAAATGTTATCTGAATGTCTGTTTACCTTAAAGACTAAACCTATGTATAAGCATACATTTTAGCCCAACAAAAAAATCTATATTTACTTATTTGTATAAGGTTTCAGCTAAATGGTACCTTTGTGAAATAAACTGTATTCCTGAGGAAACAATCTGGGACTTCTTTCTAGGGTATTGGAATAAAAAAATAAATAGTTTACCAGTAAGGAAATTATGGTTGCCATCTTAATTCCACTCAACTCAGAGGAGATCCAAGTATTAAATATTTAATGACAAGTATGAAAACTCAGTTAAAATGAATATGCATTCCTGGGTCAAATTTTATCTCTAAACTCAATGTGATCACAGATTATATACTTAAACTCTTAAGTAGATATTTCACAAAGCAGGGAAGGAAAGAATACATATCACCAAAGCAGAGGAATAAGAAAAAAAATTTAGACCTATTATGAGACTTTAGAATTATTTTCGTATACAATTACTTTTATTATAAAAGTAATATAAACAAATTACAAGACAGTTGGAAATTAAAGAAGGAGAAAAACACAAAATTTCATTACCCCTACATATTCATTAATAGCACTTTGGAATATTTCTTTCTGCTTTTGTTTTTTTTCACCATTAGCTCTTTTTTTTTTTTTCCATGTAGTTGCTAACCTAAGCTTACATTCTGCTTTTTCTTTTCAGTTTCACATTATTTGAAATGCATTTTTCTATGTTGTCACCTCATCTTCCTATTCAATGCATGATCTTTTAAACAGTTTATATTAGATCAGACTACTCATGCTCACAGCTGCCATTTATCGGGCATTTATTACTGTACTCAGTGCTGGATCTACATTACCTTGTGCAACCCTCAAAACAACCTCCTATGAGAGACATTATTATTACTGGAGTTTTAAAGACTAAAAAAGTTTTGAAGACTAGAAAATTTAGGATTAAAAAGGTTACATAGCTTGTCAAAGGTCAAACAATAAGAGGTAGCACATATTGGTAGTTGACCTGTTTTAAGCCAAAATTTGTACTCAGGACTTCACTAACCTATCTAGTTGGTACAGAAATGATGATTGCTTTTCCACTGATACATCAATAACTACAGGGTTCCTGCTGCTAAATTGAGAGTACACATAAATTTATGGGCTAGAAAGAGCAAAAAAACAACTTTCAACTGCTGGAAAGATTGGCTTTCGTATTCTGAGTTGTCAATATTCTTCATTCTGCCTAATTTTAAATTTTTAATCTATTTTCTTTGCAATCATCTCAGAGTTTCTCCTTTGAGCAAACAAACCTCCCTCAACTAGCCATAGTCCGCTTCTCAGTTGATCTCGCATGCATCCAGGCAGAAGTAGGATAGCTCATGACAGTCCTGAGACCTTTGGGGCTGGGGGTTAAGCTCCCAGTCCTCTTCCTTTTCTAACTAGGGAATTCTGTTGTACAGAGAAGCTCTGCTTGAGAGATATTTTGCTGGTTACATTTGCTTAATTTGACCTAAAAAAGCATGTGAAAGAAAAGAATGTCACACTGAATCAAATGAGTGCATTAAAGTAATTCTCAAAATAGGAAAAGTTTACAGAGCATAATATGTCACCTGATCCCCAACTTTTTTCCACCAGTGACCTGGTGACTTGATTTATTCTACCTATTATTCCATTGATAACAAGTAGGAAAAAGGAAAGAAAATATTGTTATCTTTCCAGGAAAGTCTAAAGAGGAATAAACAGAAGTAGCCAATTCTTCCTTAATTTTTCTGCCAATTTCATATTGATTTCCCTGATGTGAGCAAAGTAAGGAATGGCTTGTGCACCAGATTTTAGGATTGCAAAGATTATAACCATATTTATACCTTTTGTCTAACAGATTATGTCAGTATTTGGTGAAACAGCAAGCTTCTAGCATAAACAATTTAAAACCCGAGGTCAAAAGCGTAAATGCCTGGAGGCGACCACAAGGGAGTGAAAGACACCCTCACGTGTATCATTGAGGACTTGGGTACCGAGGTGAACGCAGACCTGGCTTAAGGAAGATCTGCCCACTGTATCCTCCGCTATGGCTGCCCTGTGGGAACAAAGACCCACAGTTGCCAAATCTTCTCATTATTGAAGGGATTCCAGAAGTCAGGGTTTTTATATACGTTTCTCCACATTTTGAAATGTTGAGTTAAATTTTTAAACATTTGGTGAGTGAAAATGTTTCATCAGTGGGTAGGCTTTGACCCCGTGGCCAGTATTTAACCTCCATTCGAATCCATATCATATGAATGATCAACACTGAACATTTGATTTGAAATCTAACATAGCTGGTTAGGGAGCAGTGATTTCCTGTGAAATCAGTTGAAGTTTTGCGTTACCTTACTAGCTGAAACGCATCGTGAATCAGACCTATTCTGTCCTTCGGTCTGAGAAGTGTGTGGTTCTGATTCAACAACGTAATGAGCTTGTCCCATCCTTGTCCCTCATAATGAACGATGTAGTAGCCATTGGTGTCCACATTGAACTTCACCCAGTTGGTCTTCTCAGATAAATCCAGAGTATCTAGGAGGAGAAAATTGGTATAGGTATTTCCTCATCAAAGAACACATCATGAATATCACCAGAAGTATTCTTCATATCATTAGTAATAAATCAATGGGAAGACAAAGTTCTGGAAGACTCAAGGTGATACTTATTTTCAGAGTCTGCTGGATGGCTTATTTTGGGAATGGTGATCTTATTAAATTAATAAGTAAACTAATTCCTAGGAAAAGGACTGATGAGTCTGTTCTCAAAAGCAGCATATATGGGTCTAAAAGGCATGCAGGAGCCCAGTGAGCCAGATGATGAGCACAACTGGAGTTTGGTTTGATTTACTGGTAGCCTTGTCTCAAGGTTTAGGTGCTGCATGTTAAAATATGTGTATGTAAGTAGGTGATCCATTTGTCCAGTTCTTATCCGGGGCAAAATAAAGACTTCAGGTTGAACGTGAGATTATGAGGGAAGTGTTCTGAAATTTCAGTGATGTGTTTAAAGGAGAAAATAAAATTACATTATTTTTAATATTTTAGACATTGTAGCAGGTGGTAAAATAACTTTACTATATACTCTCAAAAACTCTGAGGCTTAGTCCTCATTCAAAATAAATGAGAAGATCGAAGCTCAGGAGTTAAAAATTTTTCTTAAGGCCAAACATCCAATAGGTGACAGAATCAGGATTTGAATCCAGGGCCAATCAGTTCTAAAGTAAACACCTTTTCCCACTGAATTAGTAGGCATTAAAAGACATAAGATCAGACGCCATCAATTCTTGAAACCCATCTCTAAGTGCTAAAAACACAAGAGAACTTTCTCATGAATTAAAAACCCAGAGTTTCTAGCTAAAGGGTTCTTTTAGTAACACATAGGTATAGATAAATGAGAATTTCCTCAAACGTATACCTTTCATTGTCAGATTGACCTACAGTAACTGTCCTCCCTATAGCTCAGAACACATTTAATTTCAGAATTAAAAGATTTTTTTGGCTAATTATTTCATATTACCTGTCTTCAATTTCAGAATGTGTCTGTGAATCACATTAGAGGAACTCGTGGAGTAGGTCACTGGGATATGCCAAAGGTACCTACGTTAGAAAGTAAAGACTGTTACAGACTAAATCAATGGTCATTTCAATGTCCACATTGTCAGATTCAGAGAGGCTATAAAAGACACCTAATCACCCATCCTTTCAACATCAGTGGCCTTATAAATTTTACAGGCTAAGACTAATGGTTCCTAGGGTGTGCAAAAATTCTTTAATGATTATGAAGGAGCAGAAATACATACCTAGTTGAGCCTTGTCACAATTACCTGTGACATTTACTGTCTAGATTTTATACCACCACAATTCCTGCTAATTGTTCCTTTCACATTTCTAAAAATTCTCAGTCTGATATTAAGTCAAATAACCAAATCTAAGCTGTAGAAAGAAACCCAAAAAGGTAAAGATCTTATTCTAGCATGATTCTTCCACTTATCCTTCTGTTCAGTGAAGCTATCCGCATTCAACCCCCGCCTGCTAAGTGGTCAGCAAGCAGCAATGAGTCAGAAGCTGCTCATTGGCCAAGTGCAGAGAGCAGAGAAACAGAACAGATTGAAGGAAAAAGCCTCAGTTACTTTTCAAGGGCCTTACTATGATAAATAACTGAAATTAGCTATTTTTTCCAGACTAATTTCTAGCTGCCTCTAGAGCTCATTTCCTCTAACGTAGTAAGCCATATTAGCTATACTAACCCTATAAAATCAAATGCTTGAAAATACCAGTAGGTATAAAACAGGAAGAATAGTACTGAGGATATGCCCATTAATCCTTAGAAAAACCTAAAATAGTAAAAGAGACAACAGACACAGAGTCGATTTAATAAAAGTTCAGAAGAAATAATCTACCTGCCAATCCAGAGAACCGATAATCAACAAAGCAGTTGAAATATTTACACAAAAAGGTAAAAAGAGACACACAGATATCACTAAGATATAATGGATCAAGATTCATGGATAGATTTTGGCTCTAGAAGGACAGAGATTTTTCCAGATAAACCCACCTGGGAGTAAAGAGAGAAAGAGTAGCAGTTCATAAGTTTGGATAAGCATGGATCAGAGGGCAATAATTTTATAAGAGAAATCCAAATCCTTCTTCAGATAGAGGAAAAATACAGATCACTGCATAGATACTTGTTATTCTGAGCCATTCACACTATTGAACTCTCTCGTGACATTTTGATAAGTTGCAGAATCGTGAGTCCTGTTTTCCCAATAATAAATCAAACATTGAATTTTCCAGCCTGTGTTGCCAAGCTTCAAATTGTTTAAGCTCTCTGAGGTTTGGACTTCAAAAGGGCATACAGAGGAATGGAAGGATGTGTACATAGATAAATGGCATCAGGGCTGCTGTTGGATGGAAATAGACATCTGATGAGATCAAATTGGAAAATGGCATATTCTACGTGTTAAAGGCCTTGAGTTTGGTTCTGATTCTCAGAAAAATTCTAGAACTGTTTTTAGACAGCTAGATTTTAGAAAAAAATAATAATCATAAGAGCCAGCACTGATTCACTTGGATTATTTCTTTTCAAATTAATCTCATTCATCTTATTGAATGAGATCAGAGGAATGTGGACAGTGTTGTATTTCTTGATTTTAGTAAAACCTTTAACAAATTTTCTTAGGACAGGCTTGTGAGCAAGGTAACAGAGTGGGTAATTGGATTTGCTTTTATTGTTACCAAGAACATCATGTTTTAAGACATTACATTTATAGTCTCTTACCAAAAAAGAAAAGGGAGCTGAAGGTCTTATCTAATTTAACACATGTCTGTGTGCTCAGTCATGTCTGACTTTTTGCGACCCCATGGACTGTAGCTTGCCAGGCTCTTCTGTGCCATCCCATGGACTGTAACTCACCAGGCTCTTCCATGAAATTTTCCAGGTGAGAATACCAGAGCGAATTGCCATTTCCTACTCCAGGGGATCTTCCCAACCCAGGGATCAAACCTTCATCTCTTGCATTGGCAGGCGGATTATTTACCACTGCGCCACCTGGGAAGTCCATGACTTAACACACAGGAATGCCTTTTCTGATAAGATGTATAGCTGTATAGGTATGTATACAGATGTATAGGTATGTATATAGATGTATAGGTATGGGTCAGTCTCAACTTTTTAGGGCCCAGTATTCTTGCCTGGAAAATTCCATGGACAGAGAAGCCTGGAGGGCTACAGTCCATGGGGTTTTGAAGAGTTGGACACAACTGAGCAATTAAGCACACACAACACAAAGAAGGCTAGTAGACAGTCAGGGACTATTATATTAGAGATGTAACTAACGGCCTTCTGCATCAGAACTGAGATCCTAAGGGTGGCTACAGGATTAGCAAGCACATGCTGCTCACTAAAGCAGTCTGGCTCACCTGAAGCTCTTTAAGGCTGTTAGCAAGGCTAGGTCAGTCTATTAAGTCCCATGTAAAAATAGCATCCTGTAAAATTGCCAGAGAAGCTGAAAGAAAGCTGATGCAATTGTGAGTAAACTGAGATGAGGTAAACTAGACCGACAAACAAAAAGCAAGCACCTTTCCTGCAGGGTCCCCCATTCAGGGTCCTCCTTGGAAACCGCGGACAAGAAGCGCTCTTGCTGCAGTCTGAGGGAACGCCCTTCTCGTTTAACCACCACGAGGGGGATGCCTTTCTGCAGAGTCCATGTAGCCATCATCTCCTTGAGCTCTACATTTTCCCTCAGAAACGCGAGCTGAAACGACAAGTGACTTTGGTAACCCGAGACACAGGAGAGAAGCCAGAGAGAGATCAGGTCCTTAGACCTCCTCGGATGCTAGGGACATGGTTTGGGCAGGACGAGTGGACTCCGACTGCAGGCTCACAGCGGAGCCATGTAGAACCTGGGCTGGACCTGCCCCTTCCCTCCCCATCCAGTGCTGCTCCTGGAAAGTGACCAGAAGGGGGATGTGTCTGGGAGCTTGAGGGTTAATACAGGGCAAGAAAGGCCAAGAGGAAGGGTTTGAGACTGGGGCCCCTCTCTGCTCCTTTTCAAAACAGAAGAATAAAAGAACCCACCAAAACAAAACAAAAACTACCCTCCATTTCATTAACGATGGAATCCAGAGGTTTAGGAAGAAATGTCTCTTTTAAAAATTCCAATAGAATGATATTATATCAATAGCGGTATATGGAGTGGAGGACAAAACCTCTAGCTTTTTATTAACAGCTTCTAGGATGGGTTTCTGATCACTGCATGATGCCGAATCTGCCTTTAGAAACCATACTTGATGGGATTACCATGACGCTTTTTAAAGTTTGCCTTTTCTTTCTTTTTTTTTCCCATGATGACTGATTTTTTTTTTTTCTCTCTCCTAAAATGTTCCAATAACTTCCCAGAAGTAAACAAAAAGATGGGGCCTCAAGAAAGCCATTCATACTACTTCCAAACCTAACATATTTGGTTTGGCATTTTGCAGAGCCCTGAGGATACCAGTGCAGCTATAACCACTCAGAGGAATTTTGAGCTGAGATATTTTTAGCCATTGGTGGGATTGTGGGAAAGCTGAATTATAACAACAAAAATATAGTAGTAAGAGCATCACCCTCCCCTTAATGGCCTGAGCATTCCTTCTTCAGTCAGCTTTGTTTCAAGGAAAATTGTGGAGTTTGTCCTTCTCTCCAGTTATTTAAAGGGGCGGCTGCACAACTTTACAGACTCACTCCAGGTCTGGAGATGAGCCAAATCTCTTCCACCCTCCAAGTCTCTCTCTACTTACTGTGTTGCTTGTCTTCTTGGAATCAGAATAGCAAAATCCACTTGATGTAGAATCACTTTCTAAACAATTCTAGAAAGCAAAAATAAAAGAGCGCTGCTATTTGGCCTCTGAGAATTGGCTTAAAAAGAACATTTGACATGAATGCAAACATTTATTAGCATAAATGTATGAAAATGTAATTCATCTAGACATGATAATGAGCACAGCAATTCATAAAAAATACATACAAGTTACCCTTTTAAATATTTAATTGATATTATGTGACACCGTGCTGATTTAGGTATTTTGGGAAATTTATCATTTTTGTGCCACAGTTTCATTTAACATCAGAAGGGGGTCAACTAAGAATTTAGGACCTTTAGGGGAAGGTTAGATGGGAGACCTCTCCGGTAACTAGGAAGAAGTTGTGATGTCATTGAGAGAATGAACACTGGACTGAGTCAGGAGACAGATTTTAAGGACTCCATTACTCACTTGTATAAGATCTTGAACAAATCTCTTCATTAGCATTAGTTTTCCCATTTTGGGGAAAACCCATTTTGAAAAATGGGTTAAGATTGCCTACCTTTCCTTCTTGAGATGGTAACAAGCAGGATGTGACAAAAATTAGTACAGAAGTGTTCACACAGTTGGCCTAAAAGAGTTCTGTAATTCTTGGCCAAATCTCTCCGTTAATCCCCTTTCCACTCACTAACCGCACAAAAAAATGGATTCTTCCTCTTTGGAAAAAAAGGGCTCAGGCAAAGTCTATACACACACACACACACACACACACACACACTTGTAAAAAAAGGGCTCAGGCAAAGTCTACACACACACACACACCCTTGTAAAGGAGGAGGGAAGCAGATGGGTGGGAGAGAAAAGCAATGAAAAGAAAAGCTTGTTGAGAACCTGGGAGAGAGTCGGGATGAGATCATCTGGATCACCTGCAGGAGGTGATGGAGAAAGAGCATTTTCTTGAGACTTTTTTGAAAATTTACTTTTGTTTTTCGGCTGCCCTGGGTCTGCATTGCTGTGTGGGCTTTTCCCTGGCTGCGGTGACCAGGGGCTCCTCTGGAGTTGCAGTGAGCGGGCTGCTCGCTACGGAGGCTTCCCTTGCTTCAGGGCCCAGACTCCAGGGACGTGGGCTTCGGTAGTTGCAGCTCCCGGGCTAGAGCACACACTCAGTAGTTGTGGTACTACTGTGAGCTCAGTTGCTCCGTGCTCGTGGGATCTTCCTGGATCAGGGATCAAAGCTATGTCTCCTGCATTGGCAGGTGTAATCTTTACCACGGAGCCACCAGGGAAGCTGCGAGCAGGAGCCTTTTTATAAATATTACAAAGGATGGTGTGGTTCATCCCTTTTAGGGTTTTCAAGAATGTCAGTAAAAGTTTTGAGCTACTGTGAAATTTTAATTACTTGCATTTGCTTCTTTGACCCCAAAATCACACATAAGTTAAAACTTAAGGATCCAGACTTAATGAGGGCACAGAGAAATCAAAGAAGATAATGCATATGATTTTTTTTAAACTATGATGTGCTGTACAAATATTGAACAATATTATTATTACCCCTGGGACAAAAGTGCTTACAAAGAACAGAGGACCTCTTCTGTGTACAATGGCTTAGGGTATTTCTACTTGCAGGCACAAGCTCTCCAGTTTATTATTTCTATTAAAAAGTACTGGCATTTGAAAATCTAAAAATATTTGAGTAATTATTAGAATCATCTGAGTTGACTGCATGCTTTCTCTTTCTCTTACCTACTATTCTACATGAATCCCAATGACAAAGAGACCATTTATTCTTTAATCAATCATTAGCCGTCTCTTAACCATGATAATAGGGTCAATAGAATACTAGGGGCCTGACATGATTCTTTCTCTTAAGCAGATTTTGCTTATTATTATCACTGTTATCATTAAATCAATGGAAATCAATAAAAGAGAACGTCACTGGCTGGAAGAGATTCATAAGTGCACTTCTAGGTATTCAGCAGAGAGGCAGTGAGTGCTGGAGCTGGCTATGAGAGGGAGGTGAACCCTCAGCTGGATCTCAAAAGATGGACTGCACTTGAGTTGTTGCGAAGGAGCAAGTACACTTCAGGCAGCAAGAGCACCGGAAACAAAGGCGTGATGACAGGGATGAGCGGGAGTTCTTGCATGAGGGAGCAGGTGGATCTCACTCAACCGAATACTGGCTGGGACATCAGGTTGAACAAGTAGAGTTTAAGCTTAAGTTTGGGAAGAGAAGATTACAAGTTACATGAAGGAGTTACAAAGTCATGAAAGGTTTGGAAACAGAAGACAAAGTGTAGGGTTAACCAGAAGAGGGAAACCAAAGAGAAGCAGGTCAAATACCAAACCCCCAGGGCTAAGCTAGTGTAGCATCTTGGTTTAGCAAGGTGCCGAGGAAATAGACAGGTGCTGCCAGCTTAACCCGGGCAGTGTGGCAAGTGGAATAAACATCCGTTGCCTGACAATATAACTATTTATAAACCTTCATAATTAGCTTGTCACTGTTTAGGCTTACCAGCAGTCTCCTGTAACCCAACCGATGACTTACATTTGACAGACTGAGCCACAAATCATCATTCTTAGCATTTCTATAGCTGAACTTCTTTAAGTAGTGAATAATTCCTTTCCTGAATGTCTCCTCACTCAGGAAATCCTTGAGCATGTTCAAAATACAAGCTCCCTAGATAAAAACACAAAGAAAAAGAAGGTAAAGGGTAGCATATGTTCTTAAAGGAAGCTTACATGCCATGGAACATGTGTAATGTCTGATTAATGAGCAGCACATAACACAAAAATCAACACAGAAGTAATCCGGCACCGACAACTGTTGATGTACTGGCATCATTATACTTCTCCTAGGGCAGGGCATTTATTTACTACCTGGCCCACATCATCTCCTACCTTGTTGTAGGAAACGGCATCAAACATTTCCTGTATTTGAGTAGGAGTTTTTGCTTGATTGGAGATAGGATGGGATGAATTTAGTGAATCTCTTTTAATGACTTCAAAGCATGTGTTCGAAAAAGTGTCATCCTAAATGGGAGAAAGCATTTGTTTCTTCAATTTCCACTTGACACTCAAAGCAGTAGTGAAGATGCTAGGTTTAGTAAGATATTCTCAGGAGTAAGTCTGCAAACAATATTTCTTACAAAATGTTTCTTTCCCCTGATATAGTCCCCTTTCACCAATTCTCCATTTTGTTAAAGGTCTAAATGTGATATTTCCTCAGACACTGCCTGAATGTTTCCCATGAACAAAGTCCTTGGATACAGAAATAAAACAAAGGTTCCCATTTAGAGAGCATGTGCTTATGTGTCAGGCTCTTATATTCCTCATCTGCAGTCCTTTCAACACTCTGCAAGGAAGAGGCATTGTACACATTTTATAAGTGAGAATGCATGAAACTTTTGGATTAAACCACAGACTCAGCACATAGCAAAAAGAAATAAAAGGACCCTGACTTTGAATCCATGTCTATCTGTAACTGTACTGGACCAAATATTTACCCCAAAGAGCTAATTATCCATTACTAGTTAGCACTGCCTTGTCATGTGTAGTTCAGACCGCCTTCGTGCTTGCTAAGTGGCTTCAGTCATGTTGGACACTTTTCGACCCTATGAACCGTAGCCCGCCAGGCACCCCGGTCCATGGGATTCTCCAGGCAAGAATACTGGAGTGGGTTGCTATGCCCTTCTCCAGGGGATTTCCCCAACCCAGAGATTTTTCTCAACACTGGTCTCCTGCATTGCAGGCAGATTCTGTACCATTTGAACCATCAGGGAAGCACCATCTTAGAATTCATTATGTTAACAGACATATTGCTTACAGACTCTTGGATAAATATAGAATAATGCCTGAAATATTTTTTTTTGGCAATTTGGAGAATTTTGAAGCCAGACAACTTCCAGATCTGTGAGAAAATAAACTGGCTTAAGCCACCCAGTCTTTAGAATTTTGTCATGGCAGCCATAGCAAACCAATACAATCTGTTTATACAAAAGAAAATACCACAGATTCAAAAACGCAATGCCGTGTTCTCTTTGGCACTTTCTAAAAATTATAATAGTAAATTAATGATTTCTTAGGATGTATAGTATGATATACAAAGTTGCAACTTACAAACTGTAGCTCTGGATATGTGATGTTGAGAGAGATAAGTTCCATGTATGTTGCAAAACCTTCATTGAGCCAAATATCATTCCACCATTCCATTGTAACCAGGTTACCAAACCACTGGGAGATAAAAACTCAGTGTCAAACAAATAAAAAATTATTAACTGTAGCAAAAAAATACAATGGGTGGTAACTTCTTTTTGAGTAGTTGAGGCCTTTTCTCTGTCTTTACTACCCCTTTCTCTCTGCACAGCATCTTTCTCCTGGTTTCCCTGCCTTCTTCCCTCACCACCACATTTTTGCTTATTTCACTTACTTCTTTTGTGTCCACATTGCCTCCAATGCCCTACCTTCTATTATATCCTCCCTATATCTCCTAGATATTAGGCTCAATATTCAGGAAGAGAATTATTAAGGAAGAGACATTTTGCATGATAAGTATAAGCTCACCTTGCCGTTGACTTACAGTGAGGGTCTAAGAAGAAATATAAGCCAAAATATTCTTGATGAAGTCATCTTTTTATATTAAGTAGCAGTTACTTAAAAGGATAAGAATTCATTTAGGATGTTCAGATTGTTACATAATATTACTAATGAGCAAATGTAGTTGTTGACCTCTGTCCCAATCTACTTCTAGAGATCAGTTTAGCCACTAATGTGAATAAAAGTCTGAGATTTTACATATATATAAATTAAAAGGATGCAAAAAGATAAGCTAAATAGAAATTTATCCCTGACCTATATTTGATCTGTAACACATTTTAAATATTATTATTTTTTATATATTATTATATTTTACCTATTTGGCCTTTGTTGTTTTACTGTATCTCTAGTTTATCTGTTTCAAGAGTGCTGTCTCCAGATGGATTGGAAGCTTAAATAACAAGATTTTAAGATTCAGAAGAGCCTTGTTATAGTTATAGGACAGAAATCGCTAGATCCATAGCTTCCAGAAACTGCTCAACCCCTCTACCTTGTCTTACAACTTTCAGATCATATTGCAAATGTGCACCAATCTTCCGAAGGACATCTGTGAGGAGGAACGGTGGGTGTTTCCTCAGTTTGAGAAGTGATGGACACAAGAAGTTCAAGCTGGTTGTGGTCATTTCACCAGTCAGGAAGAGTATTTTATTCATTCATTCAGTGAACATCTATTGAGAATCTACTATGTTCCTGGCACTATGCCATGGTAAAATCTCTTATTTTTAAAGTTTTAACTTTACCCTTTATCATGACCATAGTAATAAGAGGGTATTTTTTTTGTTTTGTTTTGTTTAAGCAGCAAATTAAGAACCTGGTTATATAGGAGAAATACATAGATATACATAATAGAGCCACTACCTTAATACAGATGATGGAGGTCAACCAATAGACACATATATGCAATAAAATGTTATTGGCACTATGATTTATGTCTGTACAAGAGGCAGCGAGGATTCCAGAAGGAAAAAGTCAGTTTTGCTGAGAGAGTGTGTAGGATAACTGGGAAATGATTCACTTCCTGAGTCTTAGAAGAGGGCCCCAGGAATGTTGGAAGTGGGGTGCGCTCTAAGCAGATCAGTAGCAGGAACAAAAGCACAGAGAAGTGATGTGACCTGGGCCTGTCCAGGTAATAGCAGGTCGTCCGGGATGGCTAATGCAAAGGTGTCATTCAGAGATGAGACTGGAGAGGAGGCTGGGAGCTGGGTTATCTGGGCCTCATATGACACCCTGTGGATCCTTAATTAACCCAGCATTGAGACTCTTTGCCAGGGCTTTGTGCGGAGGACTAACATGGTCAGATGGAGACGGATGGGAAGACAAAACAGTCAAGGCAGAAACTCCAGTGGGGCCTGCTGCTTCAGCCATGGACTCTGCGTCTTCAGGAAAGAGAAGCTTTCAAAGGAAGGCCTTAAGGCAGCATGGAGCCTCCAAAGGAGAGCTCTCTGCTTACTTCCCTATGAACTCTGGGTAGAAAATTAGGAATCCCCAGACTCAGTTAAGTGCTTTAGAGCTCCCAGTGACTAATAATCCAAACCCCTAAGATGGGCCAGAGGGGAGATGCTAAACCAGAGGAAGTTGTTCACATGTTCTCAAAGTAGAGCGCTGAGCATGGCTCCTTAAAACAAACAAACAACCCCTCTTAATATGATGGTCATGACAAAGGGCAAAGTTAAAAATTAAAAAGTAAGATATTTTCCAGTTTCTACAATTGAGTGATATGTGCCTGTATGGTGAAAGAGAATTTCCGATGTCTTTAATAATTCACTGCGTAACAGGGAACTTGCAGAAATAAAACAGAATGAAAAAAGTCTCTGGTATCTGAAGAGCTAATTTCACTGTTTCGTAATTGTATGTAATACCGGGTTGATAGACAGGCCTTGGAAATCTTATTCTGTAAGAAATGGTGGCAGTGGTGGTCATTATCTCTACTGTTACTAGCTAACCCTTACTGAGTACCTAGCGTGTGACAGACAGACACTCATCTGCAATCCTCACAACAGATGCAAGAAGCAGGAGCTGTCATGAACTTCATGTTATAGATGAGGACACTGAAGTTTAGAGAGGTAGGTAGTGCGCCCAGGGTCAGTAGCCTGGGAGTACGTGGACTTGAAATGCTTCATTATGGCCAAATAATCACAAATTCCAATTGAAGGGAGCTTGATTTTACCCTAGACTGGAATGCCACTGTATTAGAGGGTGTGTGGGGAAATAATAAAAATCTCTATTTGTAGGGGTTTCTAATACTGGGCTCTATGTACCTCTATGATCCTCACCCTTCTTTACTAAAAGACATTTGGAGGCTTCGTGCCTTGAAAAGTTTTAGAGGACATAGTGGCCAGTTCTCCTGTGATAAAATTCTCGTATGAGACCCAAAGTCTAGAGGTTGAACCTTCTGCTACTTGACATACAGTATTTGTTTGATGATCCCAAGGTGCCCCCTGGAAATAAAATGACATGATTTTACATTGTTTGGGGAATACTGGGGTGTTCTGCATGATGCTCTTTGGAACCGACCCTAAGAGAATGCCGTGAGAGCCAGGTACCTGGTGTGCTAGTTCATGGGCTATCACCTTGGTGACCCACAGTTTATCAGACATAGAAGACGTCCTGGGGTCAAAGAGCAGCGACGTCTCACTGCATGTGATGAGGCCCCAGTTTTCCATGGCTCCACTTGCAAAGTCAGGAATGGCAATGAGATCTAAGAAATAAAAACAACCATACTTAATCATTATGGCTCCCACACCAGAAGTGGGATTTGCTTCCTTCTTAAATATGTTATGATCCTTTCAGTATATATAAGCAGACATTCTGAAAACGCTGAGTATCTTTTACTCTTAACATTGATATTGTGTCTTGTAGTTGCTGAAAATAATCAGTATCCATCATCAAGCAGAATAAAATTTATTGATAAAGTTTTATTTGTAGGTGAAGTAGCCTAGTGACATAACCATTGTCTCCTAAAAACTAAACTGTGAAATTACCTTAGGTGCATTACTGCTGAGAAAATAATTCATTTTAAAACACTCATATTGTATTTTATGTTAGTATTACAGAGACTTTGAAAATATAAGATATCAAATGATTTCTAAAATATTTGGATTCAGCAAAACATATAATGAACTCATTTCTATAAAAAAGAGAAAAGGGATTTTTAATTTCAGGAGAACACCATTTAGAAGCATCTCTGTAGTCAATATTTCAAGCACATACAGCCTCTAAGTGTCCTTCTAAGGCAGTAAAGGGAAAAAACTGTAGGCATCAATTCTTTCTGACCTCAATTTCCTTTTCACTGTTAATATTTCCTCTACTTCTTGACAAAATTTTAGAGAAAAAATGTAAAATTTAATCATCTTTAAGCACCTCAGGTATAATGTATATTCAATTCAGTTCAGTTGTTCAGTCATGTCCAATTCTTTGCAGCCACATGGACTGCAGCACACCAGGCTTCCATGTCCATCACTGCCTCCTGGAGCTTAATTAATGTATATTAATTTATATCATGTCTGTGTGAGAGTATATATATATACATATATATACATGTATATATATATATATATACGCACATACCCTTTGCCAATGATTTCATGTTCATTAGAAAACTTCTGGCTAATATTTAATCGTAGACTTCTTTTTATTCTGCCAGGTCATACTGGAAAAAATACTGTTCTTTGGCTGAAAAGCCAGGTAATTAAAAAATAATAATAATAATTTGAAATAAATCAAGTCACTTGGCTTGAAATTTCATTGTCTGGAATTAGTATTGCTTAATTCTAGTGGATAAAAGCCAATATGTATAATGCAATCAAAAAGTAAACTAGCACTAATCAAGATTAGTATTCATTAGCACTTCAAATATGGGAATGATTCCTTTTCTAAACTACATCAATGATTTTATATTAGTTACAGTATTTCCCAAAGCCATTAGAAATGCTTATATCTGCTCTACTTTTTCTTTTTATTTATTTATTTTTTATTGAAGGAAAATTGCTTTACAGAATTTTGCTGTTTTCTGTCAAACTTCAGTATGAATCAGCCATAGGTGCACATATATCTCCTCCCTTCTGACCCTCCCTCCCATCTCCTTCCCCATCCCCCCCTCTAGGTTGATACAGAGGCCCCGTTTGAGTTTCCTGAGCCATGCAGCAAATTCCCGTTGGCTATCTATTTTACATACGGCAGTGTAAGTTCCCATGTTACTCTTTCCATACATCTCACCCTTTCCTCCCCTCTCCCCATGTACATAAGTCTATTCTCTATGTCTGTTTCTCCACTGTTGCCCTGTAAATAAGTTCTTCAGTACCATTTTTCTAGATTCCATATAAATGTGATAGAACACAGTATTTATCTTTCTCTTTCTGACTCACTTCACTCTGTATAATAGGTTCCAGGTTCATCCACCTCATTAGAACTGACTCAAATGTGTTCTTTTTTATGGCTGAGTAATATTCCATTGTGTGTATGTACCACAACTTCTTTATCCATTCATCTGTTGATGGACATCTAGGTTGCTTCCATGTTCTAGCTATTTTAAATAGTGCTGCAATGAACAATGGAATACATGTGTCTTTTTCAATTTTGGTTTCCTCAGGGTATATGCCTAGGAGTGGGATTTCTGGGTCATATGGTGGTTTTAGTCCTAATTTTTTAAGGAATCTCCATACTGTCTTCCACAGTGGCTGTATCAATTTACATTCCCACCAACAGTGCAAGAGTGTTCCCTTTTCTTCACACCCTTTCCAGCATTAATTGTAGACTTTTTGATGAGGGCCATTCTGACCTGTGTGAGGTGATTTCTCATTCTAGTTGTGATTTGCATTTCTCTAATAATGAGCGATGTTGAGCATCTTTTCATGTGTTTGTTATCCATCTGTATGTCTTCTTTGGAGAAATGTCTGTTTAGGTCTTTTTCCCACTTTCTGATTGGGTTGTTTGTTTCTCTGTTATTGAGTTGTATGAGCTGCTTGTATATTTTGGAAATTAATCCTTTGTCAGGTATTTCATTTGCTACTAGATTCTCCCATTCGGAAGGTTTTCTTTTCACCTTGCTTATAGTTTTCTTTGCTGTGCAAAAGCTTTTAAGTTTAATCCGGTCCCACTTGTTTACTTTTGTTTTTGTTTCCGTTACTCTAGGAGGTGGGTTGTAGAGGATCTTGGTTTGATTTATGTCATCGAGTGTTCTGCCTATGTTTTCTTCTAAGAGTTTTACAGTTTCTGGTCTTACACTTAGGTCTTTAATCCATTTTGAATTTATCTTTGTGTATGGTGTTAGGAAGTGTTCTAACTTCATTCTTTAACTTGTAGCTGTCCAGCTTTCCCAGCACCATTTATTGAAGAGGCTGTCTTTGCCCCATTGTATATTCTTGCCTCCTTTGTCAAAAATAAGGTTCCCATAGGTGCATGGGTTTATTTCTGAGCTTCTTATCTTGTTCATTGGTCTATATTTCTGTTTTTGTGCCAGTACCATGCTGTCTTGATGACTGTAGCTTTGTAGTATAATCTGAAGTCAGGAAGGTTGATTCCTCCAGATCCATTCTTCTTTCTCTATACTGCTTTGGCTATTGGGGGTCTTTTGAGTTTCCATATGAATTGTGAAGTTTTTTGTTCTATTTCTGTGAAAAATGCCATTGCTAATTTGATAGGGATTGCTGTTGAATCTTTAATCTGGTAGTATAGTCACTTTCACAATATTGATTCTTCCTATCCAGGAACATGGAATGTCTCTCCATCTGTTTATGTCATCTTTGATTTCTTTCATGTCTTCTAATTTTCTGTGTACAGTTATTTCATCTCCTTAGGTAAACCTATTCTTAGATATTTAATTCTTTTTGTTGCAATGGTGAGTGGAATTGATTCCTTAATTGTTCTTTCTGATTTTTCATTGTTAGTAAATAGAAATGCAAGTGATTTCTGTGTATTGGTTTTGTATCCTGCTACTTTGCTAAATTCACTGATTAGCTCTAGTAATTTTCTGACACAATCTTTAGGGTTTTCTATGTACAGCATTATGTCATCTGCAAACAGTGAGAGCTTTACTTCTTCTTTTCTGATCTGGATTCCTTTTATTTCTTTTTCTTCTCTGATTGCTGTAGCTAGAAATTCCAGAACTATGTTGAATAATAGTGGCAAAAGTGGACACCCTTGTCTTGTTCCTGATCTTAGGGGGAGCGCTTTCAGTTTTTCACCATTGAGAATAATGTTTGCTGTAGGCTTATCATATATGGCCTTTACTATGTTGAGGTAGGTTCCTTCTATGCCCATTTTCTGAAGAGTTTTAACCATAAATAGGTGTTGAATTTTGTCAAAGGCCTTTTCTGCATCTATTGAGATGATCATATGGTTTTTATCTCTCAATTTGTTAATATGGTGTATCACATTAATTGATTTGCATATATTGAAGAATCCTTGCATCCCTGGAATTAACCCAACGTGATCATGGTGTATGAGTTTTTTGCTGTGTTGCTGAATTCTGTTTGCTAAATATATCTGCTGTACTTTTTCTTAAGCTGCATGCTTCCTTTCAGTTAACTTTATTTTAAATGCATTCATTTCATATGGTCTTCAAGGTCACATTTTTCAAGAACAACTTAGGATTGTTGATGGCTGTTATTTGATCTTTCCTTGATTTTTGACATAGAGGAAAGCAATGGACTGTGAGTAACCTGATTTAGTATGTCTGTACTAAAGGGTATATAGAATTTGCACTGTAATGATACCATGAGACTCAGGAACTATGGGAATAAGCCCCTGGAAATGTCTTCTGATAGTCCTTTAATTCTCTAAGAAAAACTGCACAAAGTTGGTCAGAAAAGGGGAAGAAGAACATGATAAGGTGTGTGTTATAAAGTCCCAAAGGAAAACAGTTTTGTCACTGTCCAAAACTCTAAAAATTAATCTACATAAGTTATAAAATTTATCAGTATTTTTATACATTCTGCAATATCATAAAAATCACAATTTTTATTTTTTAAGATAGAAAATGGAAACCAGCAAAGATAGGCTATTTGTATCCTCTCATATAAAGATCAACTACTACCACATTCAATTATCTATTTCCTTCAAATCTCTCTCTCTCTCGCTCTTTTTTTTTTAAAATGTCTGTGCCACAGTCTTATCTTCCAGCCTCAAACACTCTGCAGATAACAGATGGTAGGACAGTTTTCAGCTATTTACATAAACCTTTGGCAACTTTTATAAAAGATTGCTAGTCTTGTATGAATATGGTATAGAAGGAAATATATGCTCCAGAGAATTCATCCATTTAAATCTAATATAAAATGCAGATATTTTAATATTAAACCTGATAAAAGAATAAAAAAATGAACCCAAGTACTTGGGCTTCTCATAAATACTTTATTTTCTACACTCAAAGACATCTCTCAGGTATAAATTATTGCTTTCTGGGCTAACTGAAGTTCCTCAGTGCTCATTTGAATCACATATAAAGAGGGATGAAATCAAAGCAAGTTCTGAAAGTAAAGACAATGATCTAGAATTTGAACCTACCCAGTTTGGGGAGTGGATAGTGAATATCAAAGTAATTTTCATAAACCTCCAGCAGCTTCAGTGACGCTTCCAAAGCATAATGTGTTTGACTCCATTTGTCTGGGGATGCATAGATGGACACCTGGGAAATGTTGGTGAGAAGAATGATCTTTGAATGACAGCTCCTTGGCATGACCCCCTTCCTAACAACCTTCACCCAAAAATGGAGACTGTATTTTTCAAGAAAGTATTGAGATACCGTTAAACATGTTGTCAACAGGGGGTAAGGTGTTCTGTAAAGTATTAAAGAAAAAGCTCCTCTTGAAAACTACAAACAATCCTGTGCTTTCTGTTACAGCATATTCCATAGGTGTCAATCTGTACATTTCAAGGTATATAAACCTATTACATCACGAGAGCTCACTTCAGTTCATCACTATCATGTATTCTAGCACTTGAGAATTAGCTTTCCAAAATGATGAGCACCAAAAGAGTTTCAATAAAACACAATTGTATTAGGCGGAAAAGCCTTCGTGAACTTATTGGAACCACCCTCTGTTGTGTTTTCTTTAAACTCAAAAATGCCCAGATAGGTTCACTGACTCCCTGCATGGTAACTACTAGCTAGTAAGTGGAAAGAATAAAGTTAGTTTCCAGTTTTCTTGGGTTTCAAGTACAGTATTGCTTTCATTTCATAATCTGTTTCCATGCTCCAAATTAACTGAAATACCCTCAGAAATTTTATAAGAAAGATATATTAATGTCCACAGTACCTTACCAGGCACTGTGCTAAATGTACACTTGTCAAACTTGTAAAATCTAACTTAGTCCTCTCAACCACCTCCTGAAATAGAAGCTATTTTCTTCATGTTAGGAATGAAGCAATGAAACCACATGGAGATTAAATTACTTGCTTCAAGTCACACAAATGGAAAATTGCAGAGCTGGGGTGTGAATCCAAGGAAACTGACAGGACCCTGTCCCCTAAAGTAAAATACAATCTGACCTCACACACACCTATATCTAACTACATATATACCTGCGTGCAACGATGTATGTAGACACATTGCTGATAATATATATGTGCGTATCCATAGGTCTAGTGTGTATGGAAATTATAGTCGATGTTTCATTGCTATTTGTCATAAGCACTCTTTTATGGCTCTTTGAATATATTTTTGGGTCTGTAACAATTCCTCAAGGTAAGGGGTTCTTTTTTATTTTTCGTGTGTTCACTGATATTCACAAAACTTTATCAGATAATTATTGTGTGTGTTTGTGCTCAGTGACTCAGTTCTGTCTGACTCTTTGCAATACCGGCCAGGCTCCCCTATCCATGGAATTCTCCGGGCAAGAGTACTGGAGTGGGTTTCCAATTCCCCCTCCAGGGGGTGTTGCCAACCTGGGAGTTGAGCACGCTTCTCCTGTAGCACTGCTGCACCGCCTGGGAAGCCCCAATTATTGGGTATTGTAACTTTCTGTAAACAACCAACGCTCTAAAAATGATGAAGACCTCCTTTCATTAAGGAAATAAAATTATAGAAAACAATTGGAAACAATGTAAATGTCCTAGAATAAGATGCTGATTTAAAAAAATCTGTATGGTACCTCTATGCATTAGAATACAATACCATGCAATCATTAATATTACAGAAAGATATTTAATGCCATTTAATTTTTATAGCATATTATGGTGAGATAAAATAATTGCATATTATTTGTAAAAAATATATATAGATGTAGACAGTATATATTGTTATCATATTCAGTCGTATACTGACGGACTTACAGAAAACACCTGGAATATACCAGGACATGCCCCTGTAGTGCTCACAGGTTATTTTATTTTTTATCTCTCCCTGTTTTTGTAAATAAGCATGGTATTTTGATAATAAGGGGGGAAACTTTAAAGAACAGCTCATTGCCTTCAGGACGCTATTCAGCACTGTGTATGAAATGAGAACTCAAACTCACCTTGACCCCTGACGAGGTGGTACCACTTACAGAAGTGAAATCACAAACTATGTAGGCTACAAGGTAGGTACTCATTTTTACAGTAGTTTCAAAATGATCTTCCAAGAGGCCTCCTTCAAGTTCGATCGTCTTAACCTACAGGAAGGGAAAGAATCGGTATTTGAGAATTGGAGTATTTTACAAGAATGCCTATGACGTAGGTTATGTAAGATAGAGGCGGGGTTGATGCTCTGCGTGACGCCCATATAGATTAGAGGACTCTTCACAACATTCTGTGGCTTCGCCTCCCTCTATTTCTTTTATCTCTAGACTTCCTCGAAGACACGATGTGCTACTTTAGGAGTCTGAAAATGATGCCTATTTTGTTGTTGAAAGCATAGAAATATCTTAGACGGTTCCATATTCTTGAAATGCAATCATCTCCAACACTGGCATCAATTCAACATTTATACTTCTAAGCAAAAGTGCCAGAGAATAGTCCCCTTCCCTTTGTTATATAATGAATAAAATCTGTTGCAGAAGGAAATGAGAAGCAGAACTGTGCTGGATGGTTTGCATCATCTTTTAATCCTCCTATTATTTGTGTATGAGGTAGGTATAATTTCACAGGTGAAGAAACGGAGTCTCAGAAACATTAACTGATTGCCCAAGATCACACGGCTAGTTTCACGGTAGGACCAAGATGTCGATGTGGCTGTGTGACTCCAAAGACATTGCTCATTCTGGCACTTGCTGTGACAGCTTGAGTCATAGTCTTATTTTATCTTTGCTTCATTGATTCAGCCATGAAAGCAGTCAGGCCAAGGAGGTCATTAGTAATTTAAGCTTCTGCCTATCTACTGAGGAAGTAAAAAGTTTTAAGTCTATAGACTGGTCAGCTGCATCCATCAAATTCACTGAGTAATTGCTGAATTTTATCTTTACTTGCTCCGGATAGCTGGTTCCAAAGATGGTCTTCACCATGGTACAATGCCCCTGAGTTCTGAAAGGACACAGATCCTGTTATCTGAAAATACCACTTTCTTCAACTTGGTAATAAGTCTTCAACTGGCTTGTTGCTCACCCTCTCCAAACCCCTTTTAAGGCATCAGGGTTGTGGCAGTGCTAACCACAGATTATTAAGCATATTTTGTGTGTTTGTATAAGACTGCAGTTTGCTTTGGTGAGAAAAAATAGCCTGAAGAGTTATCACAAACTGCCTAGCCTGTGTCAATGACAAATGTTTGTGCTATGAAATTCTACGGAATTTGATTCTACAGAATTCTATCAAAAATTCAATTCCTAAGTTCCAATAAAGTAGAAAACACTGACCAACTACCCTTGAAAAGGTGGTAGTATATACAGGGCTTTAAGTTTCACCTCTATCTGAAAGTTTATTTTGTCCAACAACAATCTCCTTTGTAAGGAGTCTGATGGAACCACAGTTCTATGGGTACATGCCCCTAGCAGAGGAGAGGTTATGGTAGGGGCAGAGGAGGGGACACTATTTTTGTGGTCCTCTGACCAAGCTCAGCAGCAAAACCATTTAGTCAAACGTGTAGATGGGTGAGGAGAGGAAGAAGAAAGGTTGTGGGACCGTGGAGAAGTGGGTCTGTGACACTGGAGGGCTGGTGGCAGAGCTGGTGAGGAGACAGGTGGGCATTCCCTCTGATTTATCTCCTCCTCCCAGGTAAAGAAGTAGCCCATAGAGGCTGAGTTTGGTTCAGGAACCTGGAGTCACCCATGGAGATTAGCATTGCCTTAAATAGAAGTGTTTGCAGTGTGAGTGTAAGTTCTTCCAGGATGGTGATGCAAGCTCCAAGTATAAAACACTTGTTGCTAGAGAAGGATTTAGCTGTTTTCTCGATTTCAGCAGGGTTCTACTTACATAGCCAGTGTCGCCAGCAGGCGAGTGTTCCTTTAAGGAATGAAGGGGACAAAGGGATGCCCCGAAGATCTGCACTGCCTCTCCCAGCACTTGGCTGACTGCCTCACTTTCTTGTATTCTTGTCCTTTTCTTCTAAAATAAACCAACTGAGAACTTCTGTGTTGCTTCTCACCAGTCCACAGCCCATCTTAAGTGCCATAGGTGTTATCCAAAGAGTGTGATCATAGCATTGCTTCAGCTCTTTCTCTCTCTCCTTTTTTTGGATAACCATGGAAGCCTGGGTAGGGCATGTCAGTATGGAGCAGAAAGCTAAGCCAGTGTTTGCTGAAAAAAGCATGATCCAGAGAACTGGCCCAGTCAGCTGAAGCAATGCAAAGTTCAAGGATTATATAAAATATTTAAAAATTTTTTTCACTTATTTTTCTTACATGTGAGAAACTGACAATTCTGAACATTTCAGAAAGCTGAAATTCTAATATAACAAAATGACAATTTATGTTTGTATCACATTTTAATTAAAAGGCATTACTACTTTTTACTTTATCCTCCATGATGATTCATGTGAAAAAATATATTAATAAAAAGCTGCCGGGAAACAGACTGAATGGCCCTTAAATGAACATTCCACTAAAAAGAAGACTTGGAGTTAAGCAGCAAATCCTTTTTACCTGAACGGAAGTAGGCTAATTAAATTGCTGTCTGCACGATCATGAAAAAAACGGCGGGATAAATGTCATGTGGAGTGTGTTGCTTTCCCCCTTGATCTGCTCTGCAAGCATTTCAAAGCAAAAACTTTTCCAGCGTTAAACAGAAAACTGGGGGAAATTCAGTTTCTAGCTTATGGACTCATTTTCCCACTTTATCCACAGAAGACAATCACTAAAGAGGGCAGAGAGGAAAACGGGCTGGAGTCACTGGCTGGGTTATGATGATCCGGTTGCTTCTGAGCTCATCCTCCTGAAGCACTGTCAGGAGGGCCTCTATTTTTATCCAACTTTCTAGGTAGCAATGGAGAAATATTTTACATTTCGTTCAACAGCAAAAAAGGCAAGTGCATCATTAGTGAGGGAATATCAAATAAGGCTCAAGCGTCTACTGTGCCATTCAGAGTCTCTGCATTTTGAGCATAAATATGAGCCAAATAAAAGTGTTCGGAGGTCTCTTTCAATTAAAAAGTTTGTAACTTTTCATATGATTTTCAAATAATTTTCATAAATAATTTTAAGGACTACTCATGGAACTTAAAAAGATTTCTAAGTTCTATCACAGACTCCTAGATTTGAATTTGCAGGATGGGCCCATGGAGCATTCTCTAGATCCTTACTATTCCAAATGTGGTGCCTGGACCAGCAGCAGTGGTACCACCTGGGAGCTTGCTGTTAATAAAAAGGCAGAATTTTGAGCCTCACAGCAAGGCCAACTGAATCAGAACCTGAATTTTAACAAGATCTTCAGACGATCTCATTGAGACAATCTTGAGATGATCTCAAACATTAAAGTTTGAGAAGTGCTGTTCTGGGTGATTCTGAATTTCATCGATGGCCAGATAACACTGATTTAAAAGAACACTGCGTCCATATAAACACAAGTAAAATATAAATCACTTTCTTTAAAACAAAAAGTTTCTTATGTAAAAATGCCCAAACAGAATGATTTTAAAATATAGATGGATCGGAGTTATTATGCAACATGTAGATGGAGTAAGAACAAATTAACGGCTTAAGTCCTGAAAACAAAACAAATATTAAAACACAACAAAGACTGAAGTTCATTTTGAGAACAACTTCCCAAAGTTTCTGAAAGTGGGAATACCTTTGGCATGTTGGAGAGGGCAATGTGTCTGCTCTCTCTTCTTATCTTGATGGAAAAGTTGGCTTTGAACAATGGTTCATCAAAGCAAGGGAAAGCCATTCGTGCCTCGGTTGGCTCAAAATCCGTTACTGCAATCGTTCTATGAAAAGAAGTACATTCCAGTCGGAATACACAAGTGAAATCATAAAAGAAAGGGAAAAGAATTTTATCTTCAGAACACAGCTTATCAAGCCTGGAAGTGATATGTTTGATTTCTCAAACTATAATCTTAGTGACTCTTAGTTTTTGAAGAAAATGAAGGTAAAATTTTTTAGTACCTGCCAATCATAGTAATGCACTGTGCCAGGTACTCTATTTACATGATTGTCTTCATATTTATGGCAGATAAGGATATTGAGGCTCTGAGAACTTACTAGGATCTTTACCTAGTATTGACACATTGCTGAGATAGTGAAAGGTTGTTGCTGAGCTGTGAAAGACGCCGGGATTCTTGGCCTCTGGAGGAGAGGAATTCAAGCTGGGGCCTGTGACAAGGCTTGATCTCTCAGAGTTTTTGTGTAATAAAGTTTTATTAAAGTGTAAAAGAGATAGAGAAAGCTTCTGACATAGACATCAGAAGGGGGCAGAAAGAGTGCCCCCTGCTAGTCTTTAGCTACTAGCAGGCTGCTAATTAGAGAAAGGAAATGTGTCACTACTCAGAGTGACACCAGGCCCCTCACCCACAACATGCATCTTGAGATAACACTGGCACAGGCTGAGTCATCCCAGGCCATGAAATCTTGAAAGGCAGGTTTCCAAGCAAATACATGGTTTCATTGACATAGATTAGGAGAGCAATTGTGTGAGTAAAACTTACTGGTTTGTCAAGTTGGTTGTGAGTCTTAGGTGGAACCAACTTGAAGACAGAGTCTAGGGTAAATGCATAGTTCATTAACACAGCTTAAGAAAAACAATTCCATAAGAAAAACGCATTGCTTAGCTCACGGTTTGAGACAAGTTGAGTTCAGGTGGAACCAGGTGTCATTATGGCAACACAGGATTTTAAAAGAAACCTCTTTTAAAATTTGTATAGAAAAAGGAAAAAAAAAAACTAACACTTGTAGTTTGTTTTCTCCTGCTGCTTAAGAGAGAGATCAAAAAAAAAAAAAAAAAAGTGACACTTGCAGCCTATTTCCTCGGTTTGGAAACCCCTGACCTTCTTGTCTATTACCCTCTCAACAGGTACACCCCATTTGACTTCAAAATTGACTAGAAGTTAGTAGTTTAGTATCATCACTAAACCTGAGTGGATCTCAATCAGCCATTTGAATATTTGTGAGGTGAGTGATGTCTTAGGTTGTGTTCCCAAGAAGCAGACCCTGATTTATGAGAACATGCTGCCAAAGGGACAGGAAGTGGAGGAAGCAGGACAGGGGAGAGGAAGAAGTCAGGCCAGGTGCCAGCTTTAGCTTCATCCCTGGGCAGCTCTGAATGGAAACTACATCTTCAACTTTCCTCCTACTAGAGGCAGGAGCTGGGCTAAGGTTCTTCCTGGAGGACCCAAGCTCCCCTTAGACACTTCTAGCTCTCTCTACTTGCCAGCAAAGCAGCTCCAGTCTTCAGACTATAACAGGTAGGTAGCTACCCTGGCAAGCCTCTATACTCCATCACCTTGAAGATTTTGAAATGATATAATTCCAAATTTATTCTTCGGACTTGAAGACTTTAATTAGGAAGCAAACCTAGAGAGCATACTTCCACTGGAGGAGGAGGGCAGAATAGAAAATCTCAAGGGACAGAGAAAGGGTGAGAAGGACCAGGAGAGAAATAAAGAGGAGCTGCTAGGATAATTTTTGCCCCAGTTTAATTCTTTCTCGACTTCAGACCAGAAAAGTAAGGCTGGGGATCTAGATATCTTATCTGGGGCCTTGATATTACTTGGATTTGGTAGCAGGTTCTACACATTTAAAGGAATCCCAAGTACCCAGAATAATTTTTATTAATGTGAAATTTTGGTTTAGAAAGTCTAACACTGGAAAAGTCAAAATTTAAGATTTTCTTTGCTATTTACACAATTAATTTTAGTGCTTCATGCAAAGTAGTGACTTCCCACTTCTCAAAGAATTAGTGTCGACTGAATTATTTTTGCATTTTAAGCTGTGTGTGTGCACACATCTGTGTAAATGAGAAAAAGAGAGACAGCGAAGTCATAAAATTCCACTGACATTGTCCTGCAAATCACCCTTCGTGTTAAGACGCACTAGGTAACTGAGCATGAAGAGAGCTGGCAAGTTAATCGTAGGAAGAGTTGGAAATAGTCTTTAGTTAATTATGGAAAGTAGTTACTTTTTAAGCTGCTACTCTAAAAAACTACCCTCTCTGCCAACAAAGGTCCGTCTAGTCACAGTTACGGTTTTTCCAGTAGTCATGTATGGACGTGAGAGTAGGACTATAAAGAAAGCTGAGTGCCAAAGAATTGATGCTTTTGAACCATGGTGCTGGAACAAACTCCTGAGAGACCCTTGGACAGCAAGGAGATCCAACCAGTCCATCCTAAAGGAGATCAGTCCTGGGTGTTCATTGGAAAGACTGATGCTAAAGTTGAAACTCTTAATTCTTTGGCCACCTGATGGGAAAAGCTGACTCATTGTGAAAGACCCTGATGCTGGGAAAGATTCAGGGCAGGAGGAGAAGGGGATGACAGAGGATGAAATGGTTGGATGGCATCACCAACTCAATGGACATGGGTTTGGGTAAACTCTGGGAGTTAGTGATGGACAGGGAGGCCTGGCATGCTGCGGTTCGCGGGGTTGCAAAGAGTCGGACACGACTGAGCAACTGAACTGAACTAAACTGGTCTCCCTTGTCTCCCTAAATGATATCCTTAAAATGTATTTCCTTTAAGTGAAGGTTTTGTCAGTTGAGAAAGTGAAATAAATCATCACTAGTCCTGTGGTGCCTCAGTGAGAAGTTGATAGTTTTCCTGTCCAATACTGTGGCAGACCTGAGAACAGACCTCTGAGAACTGAGGATACAGTGAGGGGAACGCATTTCCAAGGGGAGGGCAAGAGTGGGCTGGGGAAGGGCTGTCCTCGGTGGACTGCTGGGGGCTGCGGGGTGCGTGCATGAGTCCCAGAGGGCAGTGGGCACCTGGGGTGGGGAAGGGGAGAGGAGACACTGAGCTGCTAAAATCCCTACCAATACCCATTCCCCTTCTTCAGTTTCAGTGGAATCCTGATTTTGTTCAGGAAGGCAATGTCTCTGGATAAAAGAATCATTTCTCCAGATTCTCTTGCAGCTTGGTGGGCACATGACCCATTCCGATCTATTTGGAATTACTGGATGAGAAAGCTTGGGAAAAGGTGTCAGACTCAACTGGAATGTCTCTTTTAGCATTTTTCTCTTTCCCATTTCCCCGTTTTCCTGCCTGGAATGTGAACTTGATGCCTAGAGGTGCAGGAATCGTCTTGTATTAGGAGGAAAGTCATCTGCCAAAGATGGCTAAGCAGGAAGATAAAAGGATCTAGGTCTTGGATAACATTAGTGAGCTCTGGAGCAAACCTGGGAGGCCCTGCTTCTGGATTTCTTGTTGCATGAGAAAGACACCCTCTTCCCACTGTGTGCCAAAGCCATCGTACTGGGGTTTCTCAAGTTGGCAATTGAAAGCAACTGATAAAAATAGGAGAGCACCAAAACCAGATGCCTTTTACCCCTGAGATGGACCCTGGCCATGGAACAAATCACCCTCCCTGTGAAGCATCCTTGATTCCTCTTGCCTTACATAACCAATGTCAGCAAATTCTGTTTTACCCTTCTTCGGAAAAAATGCCGAATTCAATCATTTCATAAGAAGCACTACCAGCCAGTCCAAACCAAGAAACCAACATCCTTTCTGACCTGAACAACTGCAATGACCTCCTGAAAGACCAGTTTGCTTCTCCCTTTTCCTTTCTATACTCTACCATCAACATACACGAATTATCTTTATAAAGCATACATCACATCAGAACTTTCCAATGATTCCCGTGGTCCCTGAGTCAAAGTCTAAAACAAGAGGTTCTAAGTGTCTGCATGATCTGACCTCTCTCTCCTCTACATCTCTCTCTCATGCTGGCCTTCATCTCTCAATTACTCCTGCCTTACAGACTTTGCATTTGCTGATGCCTTTCCTGGGAACACTGTGCACTTAGGTGTCTTCAGGATTGTCTCCTTTAAAAAAAAGTTCAGATCTCAGTTTAAAGGTACTGCCTCCATAGCAAGAACTTCTCTGACCACTCAGCTAAATTATTCCAAATTCCTAGTCTATATCCCACTACTATACACTCAGTGCCTAGAATGGTGCCTGGCACGTAACATGTGCTCAGTATGAGCTGATGGAATAGACCATATTTCTCAGTTATTCAGCTGACTTGTTCCTGCCTCCTGGATCTGAGTTATGCTGTTTCCGGGCAAAGTACATGATCTCAGTTCCTCCCTCTCAACCCAGATCTTACACACATTTCCTTTTGGTCTCAGATCAAGGCTCACCTCCTTTGAGAAGCCTTCCATCCTTTAGCTCTCTCTGCACCCATCATCATTTCCCCTAGCAGATAAGCGTGTCAATCTTGTCATAGTCATAAACTGGCCTTTCCTCTTGGTTATTTTCCCTCTAGCAATTTATGCCTCTTCATTCTGTCTTTTCATCTTTATTGTAACTTACTTTAGGAATTGCAGAGCTTCTCCTTCTGAGTTTTCGGGGTTTTTTTTTTGACTTTTCATAAATGACTACTGAAGCATGCTCCTGGTAGAGACATAACCCATGAGGAAAGTATTACAAAAGACTGTAAACAGCTAGAGCTTCCTCTTACCTTATTTCACCACCAAGAGTTCTGTACGTGCTTTTATAAAAGCCTTCAAAACCATCAGCTAGCTTGGCCTGGAAGTCAATAGCCACGGAATATCTCAGGTCAGCCCTAAGTTTCTCTGGAACCAGCAGGGCAATTTGCTGATGAGCAGGATAACTCAAAACAGTTAGCCTTTCCCCTGGTTTCCTGTATCTCACATCCTCCTCTGACTGAAGGGAGGCATTTATGATTTCAAGATCTTTGCTGTGCAAGACAATGAACTGGGTGGCATCTCGAACCAAGACTTCGATCTTCTCAGATGCAACAAAGTCCAAGGAGGTGAGGTTTGGGTGAATGAGAAGGTCATAGTGGAGAGGAATGACCACAGTGGGGAGCCTCAGCTCATGCCAAGGAAATATTTGCCCATTGGTGGCTGCTGGAAAAGCCTCAGCGTCCTTATTGAACTCATCAATAGGTGAACTTGTGAACTGAGGACAAATACATTTTTGGGGCATGATGACTGCTGAGCAGTAAAATCCTATGTAAATATTAAATACTAGTTTTCTGCATGAATTAGCCATGACAGAGGAATGGAATACTAAATCAATTTTCCGGAAGATGAATGTTCAGGCTAAATCTCATAGTTCTCCCCAGCTAAGTGTTGGCTCCAGTTAGGTCACTCAGTATCCAAACAATATGTTCCAATAAACAGATTTAATCTAGAAAGAAAAAAAAACATGTATAGCATGAGAATAAAAACACTCCAATTCATAAATAAAACCTTAAAACAACAAAAGGATATATGTGAATGGGGAAAATCTACTTTGTCATAATGAGGCCAAATCTCCACGAAATAAAGTAGAAAGTGAGCTTTCATCTGGTTATTACAAATAAAAATTTTTAGAACTCAAATGAAAGGACTCTGCCTTAAAATTGGATCTGTGGAATCCCCTCTGCATTCCTGTGCAATGAAAAGATGGTAGGTGTGTAAATTCATTGCATGATGAACATTTTTAACATTTGCCCACATCATTTCATGAGTGTGTTTGGATAGCTGAAAGTAAGCTGCACAGGTGTCTCTATTTCATCTTAATAAGTCACAAAGAATATTCAATATTCTTGGGATACTAGTTATTACTATTGCTAAGGGCATTGAATTTCACCTCTTTTGATAAATAAGGTTATGGCCCTTTTCTGAATGGCCCTATTCTATAGTTGCTGGTACACAGGATGCTGTTAAACCTAACTTTTTATTTCAGTTTATTTCCAATATATCAAAAACCATGGAAATAAATTTTGATTTATAATATTCAAACTGAGAACATATTTAAGTTACTTGGTCTTCATCACAGGCTACCTTTGAAAATCCAAATCAAATTGAACTCATTGCCCCTATAAATAAAACTAAGACAATTTCTTATTGGAAGGGTAACACTACAAAATATATAAAATAAGGACAAACAATATACATTGTAATTTAGGTATTCAGTTCTGACACCCACCCTGCCACCTGCCTCTATTTACCTCTTCCCAGCTTCACCTTAAACCCATGAATGGCTCTCCATTTCCTTTTTTTTAAAATCAGTAACACATTCTCTTAAATTAATCGTCGAAAGAGTTGCTGCAATTTTCCAATTTGCAATATCAATGCAGATCAACAAATATTATTAAAGAAATGAAGAAAATAATGGTTAAATATCATTGAATAACAACACTCTCCCCTCTTTTTAATACAAGCATTACATTACTGCTACCAAATCCTAATGTTCCAAGGGCCTCTGATACATAAAGCCATAACTGGTCAATTAGCTTGAATTTCTGATGATTTGAAAAATGAAATTACTTGTTTGTTAGGTCCCAGGCACGGGAATCAGAGTGCAAGGTTTCCAGTTCTAGCACCATCATACTTACACTGAATGATCTTGGGCAAATTTTCTGATTTTTTTTTAGCATCAGTTTCCTCATCTATAAATAGTGTAATGATTTGCACTAACATTGGAAGAATTAAGTGAAATAATTCACATGAAGAATTTGGTACAGCACAGCAACTAGCATACAGAAAGCATGTGATGAATGTTAAACATCAAATTATTGTCATTGTTATAACTCACATTCTCTGGCTTAAATTGTGGAACTTCTCCCCCACGTGTAGCGGACACATCAAAGGAAAAGTGTATATATATATATATATATATATATATATTTCTTTTTTGGTAAGAGAAGAGAGAAAGGCCTCAATATTTACTCCTGTGGCCTTTAACTTTAGAACTGCTAAGAACTTTAAAGGCTGGCTAGTACGAGTTCTCAGTGTCCAGATAAAGAAACTGAGGGTGAGTGTCGCTCCCAGAATCAAACAGGAAGTCTGAAGCAGAATCAGGACTGAAATACAGCTCTTGGCCCGTTTGTCAGTAGAGTTTCCCTTATATGGTGCTTTGCTGCATTGAACAAAATACCTGGAGATAGAAGATCCAAGAACTGTAGCAAACATTTGGGAAAAGCCAAGAGAATCTCCAAAAGAGAGTGAGTCAGTCAGATGGATTCTTAAATCTCATCCTAACTGCACATTCGTCCTAAAACAGTAGTACCAGATACACCCACCTCCCCCAGATCCCCGGCTTAGATTACAAGAGCTCCTCAATACAGAAGCTTTATGCCATCTGTTCAGGTCATTATTCTCACTGAAAGATGAGGATTTTAAGACAGATTCGAGAGAAATGTTGTTGTGTTACCTCAATCCACGTTGCTGCAGATTTGAATGGAGGGGAACTTATTTCTGCTTTCACTTTCTGTTCCGGCAGAACTTTGCATAACTGCAATGAACAAGCAACTTCAGAGTAAAAGTCAGACCACGGCCAGGCCAGGTAGGACTCCAACATCCCAGCGGCGGCTGCTCCTGCTGTTTTATCTTCCCCAGCCCCGTGTCCCCAGGTGTAAAACCTTCAGAACCTAGTTTTGCTTTGTTTTGATGCTGCATTATTTTAAGACACAGTACTGAATTCCTCCCCGTGGTGTATCTGTATGTCTTGCCACTCACACTGTTCACTGAACCCAGGGTAGATAAGGCGTGCCGGGGAAGCTGAAAGAAGACTCAGGAGGTGTGGGGACGGCACAGAGGTTTATTCTCTCTGGGCAGCAGCAGTAGCAGCAGCAACAGCGAGTCTTCAAAGAATGTTGATCTAATGTTGATCTACTAAGACAGACAAAAGTGGCCCGTGGCCAAAGGGGCACGCCGGCCCAGTGCTACCAAGGTCAGCGATAGTGCTGTTTACAGAACATAAACAGTATGAGGCCGTGAGTGTGGGGCAGGAGAGCCGGACTCATCCTGTGTTCTCAGTTCACTTCTCCACGCCATATTACGGTGAAATCTGACCTTGGTCCATCCCCTTGGAACAGAGAACTCCCAGCCAGTTTTAATGGCCTTTAACAGAGGCGCTAGACCCCCGCTTTCCTACATCTGAAAACTACCTGCCTGCTGGGCATCCAGGGGCTGTTTCCCACCTTTAGGTCTCTCCATCTCTCAGGAGTCTTCTCTTCCTCACCCCGCTGTCTCTGGACAGAGAAAAAGACTCTGCTCTCTGCTCTTTTCCCACGTTTTTCTTTCCCTCAGAGAATATGTTCATCCAGGAGTATCCTCTTCTACCCTCACCCATCCCACATTTCTCTCCCCCATCTCCCCTTCCAGGCTCTGCTGCTGCAGTGCCCACAGCCCGATGGACGCCTCGGCACGGATATTCTGCTAACAACTCACACATTGTCTTTTCCCCAGACGGGAGCCTTCCGCCGCTGTCCATGATTTGGACCACATCGCTGTTTTGTTTCTGCTCCACCCTCGTTTGCTACCAAGTTCTGTTGATTCTTCCTTCTTAATCTCTTTGTATCCAACGTAAAAAAAGTGTTCCCCACAGTCAAGAAGGCAGGCCAGGGCCTCATCACTCCTCACAGTGGCCTTCAAACAAGATTTGCTGCTTCTCAAGACAAGTCTTTGCAGCCCACTCGTTCGGTGCAAGCCAAGCAGATTATCTCAGACACTGCTTGATCATGCCATGTGGAGAAGGGCGTGGCAACCCACTCCAGTCTTCTTGCCTGGAGAATTCCATGGACAGAGGAGCCTGATGGGCTCCCGTCCATGGGGTCGCAAGAGTCGGACACGACTGAGCGACTGTCATGCACTCACACTCACTCACTCACTCCATCACGCCACACCCCTGGTCCAAGCCTTTCCATGTTTACACACAGAGGCAGTTCCATGTAGAGGCCATGCGTGGCCCACTGGCCGCCTAAAGGCCACAGGACCTCTTACAAGGCCTGTCTGGGGTTTTGCCTAGATCCTAGTACGTTAGAGGGCCACACACACGCACGCGCGCACACACACACACACACGTTTTCTCACATGAAATGTAACAGGCTTGGCTCATATTGTCTTTAGGCCTCCTTCACACACTGGTTTTCATGCCTTCTCCGAGGTGCATCTCTGTATGTAACCTGTGCTTTGGTTTAACGTTCAAATCCTGCCCTGATTAAATCATACTTAGCTCTCAAGGCTTCATTTATTTTCTCTTTTTATATTTTATCATTCCAACCCTAGTAAAGTAGAAGGAGCAAAACCAAGAAGGTGACCTATTCCTAGGGCCAGAGGTATAGGCCTCGGTGGACTCCCTCAGAGGGGAATTTCCTGTGGTTAAAGGGGTACGATGGGGCAGGCCGGTGGATGGAAACGGGTGACTGGGGTAAGTGTTAGTCGCTCAGTCATGTCCGACTCTTTGCGACCCCATGGACTGTAGCCCACCGGGCTCCTTCGTCCGTGGGATTCTCCAGGCCAGGGTACTGGAGTGGGGTGCCATTCCCTTCTCCAGGGGATCTTCCCGACCCAGGGATCGAACCTGGGTCTCCCATACTGCAGGCAGATTCTTTACCGTCTGAGTCACAGGGAAGCCTGGGGGTAAACGGGGTGAAAAAGAGGGGGCACCATGGGCCAATTCTTGGAAATCTCATTTTGCAGTGGGTGGGGAGGGGGGACGATGAAAAAGTGCAGCAAGCTGGGAGTGGTTCTGTGACTTTGTTCACAGGACCCAGCCCAGTCGTGTGTGTCTGTGTGCGCAGAACTCTCCCTGACCCGTGAAAATGGAGGTGCTGACAGGATGGAGAGAAGAGGCTGTCAGATTGGGCTGCTGAGTTCCAGGAGAGGAAGATGAGTAGGGTCCAGGTGACTTCATAGTGTATTATTTAAAACTATTTCTCACCAAAAAGGGTTTCCAATCCTTTTATTTCCTGATAAGAGAATAAGCTTTGGGTTGTTTGCCACATAGAATCCACATGCCACTCCCTCCTGGTCTTCTGATCTGTCTCTTGCTCAGAGATTCTCCTCTTTGGCTCCAAAAAGAGTAGCCATCTTCAGTCCACCCCGGCCACCATCCAGCGTCTATCCCATTAGCTTGTTCTCTTTTTCCTTAGTGCTTATCAATTCCTGAGTAACTACGTGTTGATTTATTTGTTTTATTTGTCTCCCTCCCAGAACATGGGCTTCCCAGGTAGCTCAGTGGTAAAGAATCCACCTGCAATGCAAGAGACATGGGAGACCTGG